CTTCCCAGGAGAGGCAGCCAGGGAGATAGATAGGATCTCTAGAGACAATCTAAGAGATCTTGGACTAGTGGAGGAAGCAGAGAGTAGGGGAGAAGGATAGTAGGAAGGGTAGCCTAGGCACATCTAGGAGTTACCTAACAGACAATGAATACCGAGGAGGGCACAGCCCAAATGCTCTGGCGCAGATAGGCGGATCGGGCGAGGAAAAGGACCAGAACGAATATACGAAGGATAGTAGGAGCTTATAGAGCTCCTAGAGATAAATTAGGGGCAGTGGTCTAGACCACTGCCTAGACACATGTCTGTCATAGCCAACTGGCTCCACATGGACGTTAAACTTGATTAAATAAATAAATAAATAAGTCCCTTGCACAGGTTATTTACACATGCAAGGGATAAAGCAGGACCACGAAGATGTGTCACTCTCTTTATCTTAATGTTCGGAAATCTTCTATATTCATGAAACCAGTTCCTCTGGATGGCAAAATGTGTATCATACGATTGTGCCATCTCTTGGTGTATTATTTCGGACTATATCAATCCCATATCGTTTCCCCTCATCGTGAGCCCACCATCTCATGGAATACACATTATCATCGAATATGCCCCGTTTCTTCAACTCCCTGTCATCGCACCACTCAGAACCAGGGGGAATCAACTTTTCAACCAGTTCTGAACCAGCAAGCAAACTAGCGCTTGCGGCGATACTCGTCGGATTCTTGGGCAGAATACATCGCTTATCCATGTACGTAACAGCAACTAAACCACAGATAACCATTACTGCTAGAACTCCTTCGATGATTCTAGTTGAAATGGGACTCTGGATGACATTCTCCTGTTTTTCTATGAAATGGGCAGGAAATGATATTCTGTCTGACGTTTGGTTGGTCGGTAGGTGGGCCCCAAGATTCAGTAATTGTGCCGTGACAATGCCGTTGATCGTTTGCATTCCATCAATGTATAAACTGGGATCGTCAAGAAGATCTTCGGCAGTGACATTTTTCATTCGCATTGTGTTGTTAGTGACCATATCCATCTGCGTAGAGTTTCTGCTTGGCTGATCGGTCTGGACGTTGAAAAAGTATTTGTATAAATCTGAATTGGGCGGGATAGCTTCGTGAAACTCGTTATCCTTGCCCGAGTAATCGTCCCTGCCTACAAATCCAGCTTCTAAAAGAGTAGTTGTCGAGTTAGGGATGATAGATGGGGGCTTGGAGTCATCGAACATGTACGATGGAACCGAAAGACGGGCTTCTACTTGAAGCTGTTTGAGCCGGGGTCGACATCGCAGAATGTATAGGCTCTCCACTGTGGAAGAACTTGCCTTCCCGTACACCATCAGACGAGTCGGACAGTTGCGGTTGGTGGGATCAAGTACAATGCTGGCGTTTGTTTCGACTCCATTCGTCATATACCTGAAATAGTCGCCTGGCTTTGGACTCAGAGCATCAAGGCCCTTTGTTACGAACCCGCAGTTGTCAAGGCCGCTGAAATTGAACGCCATATAGCCGGATTGTCCAGCCAGATTCCCATTATAGGTCCAGTTATACTGGTTTTGGGGCATCACTTCACAGTTGATGTCCGCTCGCACTGCCGGTAGCCGGACGTCTATCGAACCGTTTGGATGGAACGTCTCGTTGAGTTCGATCCTCGGGAAAGCAAGGTCCTTATACGTCCATTGGGGGTACGATAATCCCATATCTATAATAAGACCCGGCGTCTTGCTCGAGTAATCAAAACGGTCCCAATATGCTCTCTTAGTACTGTCTGCCCAAGCCCAGTTTGTTAACTGTATCGCATTTGCTTCGATAGTGGATGTGACTACATCAACAGTATATAAGCCAGAGACGGCAATTGACAGCGAAAAAGAAACCAGGACGCTTAGTGAAGCTGCTGCTAGAGCCCAATATCGTCTTCTGATGGCCGTCGCAAAGACATGCAAAGACAACTGCCCGTTAAAATCCTCAGAAACGCTTGATTCCGCTTGGGCAACCTTCTCACAGAGTTGGCTGTAGGGGTGGAAGGTCCTTGTACAATTTTCAAGAATCTGATACAGGACTCGAACGCCAAGCATAGCCAGCGCTGGAAGATAGTACCACGTATATTTGATATATGAGTTTTGGTCCCCAGCATGACCAATTCCACCAAATTTCTGGGAATGCTGGTAAAGCACCTCGAGAACAATGATAAATGCAATAGGCACCGAGAATATCAGAACACGTGCTGGGATTCTGACTGCAAATGGACGCCACCAGCTGATATCGACTTCGACAGGGGAGGGTGCATGTCTTTCCGTCTCATCATCAGGGGTGATGGAAAAGCTACCATCCGGTGTGATTTGCGTATGGAAACGCTGTCCCTGTAATGCGTCCTGTATCTGAGGAACTGGTAGCGGTCCCATGCCCATGAGTTGTGCGGAAAACTCTGGACTGCGCGCTAGAATAGTTGCAAGGCCCGCAAGAGAACCTGCATCCCGAGGGCATGCGGAGATGGGGTGATAGAACAAGGCAAGACTGGCCGTTATTGCAATCAGAAGAACAAGTATACTCGTCAACAGTCCAAATGAGAGGCTTTGGACCACAAGTCGTTTCTCTGAATTGGTGACTAGGCCGTGGGCAGTTTTGTTATCAGATTGAAGCAGGTATTCTTGGACCAAAGCAGCACCAACCCCAGAAATATCCTGCTCCATTAGGCTTTTTAGGTGAGTCGTGTTCCAAAATTCTTCGGTATTTTTGCCGTTCGATTGTATGAGTAAGCCCCCATCTGGTGGATTTTCCATTGCCCAAAGGGACTTCCACACTCCATAGAGAATATCAGCTGCCGAGACTCCAGGAATAGTGTAGTTCTCGCCCGCGCCGTCGTGGTGAATGTTGCTGTACACCACACTAGTATTCTGCCCACGCCAAATGTCCACCTTCCGCTTGTTGAGCGTGTACTTTGGTGTACACGCGATGGCCTTGATGTCATATGTGCCAGTCCCATTGGACTCGATGCCACCCGAGCTGCTGACATGTATACCGGAATCAATGAACGCCCCACTGAGATCTTGATGTAAGACTATTGTCCAGAGACGCCAGTCAATCTGGCGAATATCGCCTATTTGAATCGTGGAGCCTGTCATAGGATGTATCTGCCCTGCACAGCCCCCCACATTAGTAATGACGATGTACTCCTTGTCTGGGTAGGCGACTGCACTCTGTAGGTCCCCTTGGGTAAAGCTAAATGAACAGTTCTGATGAGGGTGAGACACAACTACCGTAGTGATATTATCACCCTGTTCTATTTGTTGGCTTTTGGTCGTAAATGACGCATCTTCACACCCGGTATCCATGGTAAAAACATCCATCATTGCCTGGTACTGATCCCCGACTGGGTATACACTACTGCCTTCGCCAGCTTCATAGAACGAAGGAAATATATTGTTGCCATTCAGCCCCAGCGGTGTACTGGCGTTGAAGTTCATATTTCCCAAGTAGAGCTCGAAGGGGCGGCCATCGACCAGTGAAGGGTCATAATGAGAACCATTAAAGCTCTGTGTAATATGCATTTGAGCAGGTTCGGTATAATGAATATTCTCATACGCCAGCAAACCTGTTGAAAAAATGGTTGTACCAGTAAGTAGGAGGGTACCTAGAACAGCCAGGCTGACAAGGTAGTGCTTGTTCTTAATAGATATATACAAGGATACAATGAACCAGTCAGATGCATAATCCAATAGGACACTATTTGTTCCTGTCTGCGGGCCCTTGAGCATTAGTATCCATGGCATCAACTGCGAAATTCGATACTGGACCCGGGCCCAAAAAGCTCCCACAATCATGAAAACTATGACTGTCAGCTTGCAACGAGATTCATTTCGTATCATGACCCACCTGCTGTTGGCCCGTACGTCCAGAGGTAGTAGTTCTTCTCATTCACTGATCCAAGGCCATTGTGAACGTCTGATGCGATATATGTGCCAACCAACGCGGCCAAAAGAGTGACGAAGGTAGCGAGAAAAAGAAGCAGGCCTTGCCGACGCAGACAAAACGGTGCCCAAAGATCGTTTAAGCGAGCATACTCGCTTTTCTGGACACGCTTTCCCCCTTGTGAGACCCTTGGTAGCCTGGAATCCTCCTTGACCTCGGTCACCCATTCTGTCAGCTCAACCTCGTTGTTGGATTGTGCACGCGACATCAAAGGAGTGCCTGAGGATAGTGGGAGTGGCCGTTTGTCCTTGTCCTGCATCCTATGTATTTATGAGAACTGTGGATAAAGATTGACATGGCAGAAACAAGAACCGCAACAGAGCACGGAGAGACCAGTCCCCTGGTTGCGACCACATATGATTCTTGTTGATCCTTTTGACGCCAAGAAAGGCTCAGACGAGATCTACACGCTGGCGCCATATTAGGTAAGTTGATACACCTAGAACGAGGCAATTACAAGCACCGCTCCACAGCCTTGTACAAACCTCACCGGACACAGCCATGCTTGTTCAGAGGATAATCGCCCTCAGAAGAAATCGACCATAGATAAAACGGACGTATATTAGAGACTTCTCTGAGTTCCTTGCCAATTTATCTTGTTGTCCAGAATACTCTTAGGTCTCAGCTTATCATTCAGTCATATTACTCCCGTCATTTGATTACTAGGACTGCAACATAGACTTGATGAGAATGCTGGATTTCTGTGTTGCGCTACGTCCCATCATGTGAGTATTAGTGGATATACTTCGATCTCGCATGATAAACTACTACCCAGAAACATATCAAGACAAGAATAACTATGCGACTCTGCAAGCCTTGGGGAGAATGATCCCTTCCTCGCCCAAGATAGCCAACCGAGGCTCAGCTGTGATCTGCACGCTCAGACCCCTTAGGCTGGCCAGTGGTAGTTCATAGTTACTCCCCACATGTTGGAAACCAACTGAATTTCTGGATTTGTGCCGTGTTGATATACCATATAACAAGCTATACCCAAATTGTAAACACCGCAGGAATTATAACACTGAAGAAGTGAATTGAAAGTAAATTTTTAAATTGATTCAAAATCAGATCACCAGTTTGTATTATTGCTGGAATCATAGGACGAACTACTACCATAAGATGAGCCACCTCCGTAAGATAACGAACTTCCTCCTCCCGAGTAGGACTAAGACGACGTATAGTGATCATTCGAACTTGATGAGTGGTTGAGCGAACGCGAAGAGTAGGATGATGGAGAACATGAGGGTGAAGAGTAGCTACCTGACGAGCCACCGTGATGCGAATAGTAGTTTGACAAATGAAGGTGTGAGTAACTAGACTTTACATTCTCTAGTATAAGTCATGATTATCTGCATTCTAGTTAGGTTCTAATTACTCAAATATATATTCAGATCAGTAATTACGTCTCGTGATCAAAGTATCTTTATTAAATATATGATGTATTATATTATTCTTTATATAGGCTGTCAGTCTATCAAATATTTCTAATATTTACTACTCTAATTGAAAAAAAATCTAATAAATATTAAAAATTCTGAACTATCCTAATTCTATAACTCTAGCTATTATTCTGCTATAAAAATAACCTGCAAGTGCCCTGAAAGATTGATTACTATTAATTAATTTTATTCTATGGAGGTAAAATAAACTGGGAAGATGTACTTTCAGCCGAAATAAAGCGGTAGGCTTGTAAGCTTCCTATAAGACGCATAATGAACATGAACAAGACGAGAAGCTACAGGCTCATTCCATAGGTAGCTATTATCATCTGATTCAAACGTAGCATTTTGACTTCGGATGGCGCCAAAAGATTACCTGTGAACGGCGAATATAATCACGAGAAGACTGGTCAGCTGAGGAGAGTGATACCAACTCCAACAATATATATAATAGGTAATATAGTTTCTTTGTGTAAAGACCAATGTGGTGACTGGTACTGTGTACAGGGGCTTCTTTATTCGATATTAGCTGTTCTATATGGTCTCTGCTGAATGTTCCTTACATATGTAACCTCCCTCCTCAACCGTGAGTGCACCTTTTTCAAAATGTCGAGTGTATTACATTCTGTACCCACTGCCATAACCCGCTGCTGTAAAAAGAGCCGAATCGGCAAAAATCGGGATAGATTGAATCCTCTGCTGGGACATTTCTGAGGAACCCGGGATGGTATTCGTACTAAATTGTAGGTATTGCGAAGGCAACACAGTTGGCGACTCGACGGCTAGTATCGCAGCAATATGTTCCAACAGCCTATGGCGTATGGAGACTCGATTTTTCACCGCATGCTCCAATATCCCAGTCCATTTGTCAATGGAAATATCAATATCCCTTAATTCCTGCTCGCGTTCTAACATTCTACCCTTCCATTTCGGACCAATCCAAGTTGCGGATGTGAGATCTCGGATTTTCTGCTCTTGGAGAATGCGGCGATCTGATTTTAGAGAGATGCATCTGTCTTGGAGATATTTGCAGTACTCCTCCATCGTAACTAGCTCCTTTTATTTGTCAGACTGATCCTCATTCAGAAGGGATGATTTAGACGGTCGGGAAGAGCATACCTGTGAAAGTGTTGCGACTTCATGTTTGCTTAGGACTTTCAGCTGCTCGGCCTGACGCTTCGCATGGTTTCGAAGTTCGTTTAATTCCGGAGCTGGCAGGGTCAAGTGAGCGTTGGCTGAGATCACCCCAAGATGAAGCATAGTAGGTGCAACTTTTTGCACGTTAACATGGTATTCGATTTTACTCCGTCGCTCTGGTTCCGTAGCAGGTGCATTTGAGGGAGTTCTTCCTGGCGAAGGATCTCTGCGAAGAGAGCTTCCTGTGGATGACGATAGCTGACGTCTACAACGGTATACGAGTTGCTTGGATCCTTGTTGTGGTGTGAGATAACAACAGCTGCTCGATGTAGGAGAATTTTGTGGAGGCGCCATTGTGGGTGTTTTTTTCGCCTCAGTTGGGAGTACTGGCAGAGGCTTTCCCATTTCAGACCTCAGCGCTTTGGCAAGTACAGGCACATTTGCAGGAGACTTCGAATTATCCCTGTTGTTCTTCGAGTAGTTATACTTGGGGTATCCGCCCTTCTTTGATAATGATTTATATCCTCGTTTATTGGAAAGAGCATTTGTCGGTGGGATTGGGTTGAGGATAGCCTTGAGGAAAGGGTTCTCGCTTGACCTAGCGTTGCTTGAACTGCTAGAATCGTCGTTGATAGGATACCAACCGGGGATAGTTGCTGCACGATTTATTAGTATATCCACTTTATAAATTGCGCGCTTAGGTTTAAAGTTGGGACGAACGGGAATCCATAATAGAACAAGGAGTTCGTGGGACTTGACTGATTGCACCAGGTGAACAGTCATTCAATGGCGTGCTAGATCTCGGCCTAGGACTGCTTTTGTCTCTTGACACATTCGTGGCCTTGCTTGTGACCGCTGTGCTACCCACACTAAAGGAGGCGAATCTCTTGATCGCAACTAGACACTGTTGCCCTAGCCGTTCTCGGGCCTGATTGGTGGTGCAATCATTGCTTCGGGACCCGGCCTAAGCCACTATGTGTAAGTTGCTAGTCATTCGCGATACTATGGTGAAGCGAGTCGGCTTACTGTCATATTGGAGTTCTCTGAGCAATCACAAAGTAGAAGGTTATGCGTGCAATTATCTCGCAGCCCTGCCATTCTTCTGTGGGTAAACTTATCACATAGACGCAGCGTATATGCTATAAAGCTGGGAAGGGAAAAATGGAGAAGCTGTTCACATAAGATGATTCTAGATACCCTAGATACCAATTACTTATATATCATACAACGTCCCCGAGACTAGTATATTCTACTACCTCAACCTCTGATACAATTACAGTCTAGTGGCAACTGAGCCTGGATCTGGAGGGACCTTCCATCCCGAAGAATGTAACCCTTATATATTTGACGTCTAAGTGACACGAACTATCGCCAGCTTCAGTGAGACTACAATAACTTGAATAGGAAGTCTGACCGAAAGTTAGACGCGTTGTGACGTATATGGCGAACGGCTGATGGGATTTGGGAAGGGAAGCCGTTGGCTTGGTGTACTAAGCGACGTTGATCGATGTTTCAGATTTCGAACCACACCACTAATATGGCCTGGATATCAAGCCCACTGGATAGAGTTTGGTGTACTCCGTACAAAGTGGATCCTTACACGCTGGCTAACTGAAAGAAGAGAAAAAAGAATGACTTGTGGTTCGGGATTCAAACCGACATAGGAGCTCCACTGAAAACTGTTGAGAACGAGAGGATCTCCACTTTGCAACCACGCACAGTCGTTCCTTGTCCCGAAGGGTTTGCGTACCATTAGATCGTTGATTAGTACAAGGCTTAAATCACTAAGTTTGTGGCATTTCGCATAGTGCAGTTTTAGGGCTCATTTATACTATCCGTACAACAATTACATCGTAGCCTTGCGATCCAATACTTTCGTGGCACAGGGCCAATCCTGTCACTAGTGAAGTTCTGTGTAGCTCAGGTCGATTACCCCTGAATATTGAAACCTAAACTATGCACGCATCGGCTTTAGTTACAGTTTGATCTCTCGACATACTGTGGATTGGGACCCACTGTTGACACATAGGGTCCTCGCTTAGGACCGACTCCACTTTCCCACGTGGACCATCTAGTTAGAATTTGCGAATAGTTCGTACCCTTTCCCGTGCCAACTCTCGATATCTGCCGGGGTGGAGACACTTGCCTTGTATTCTTTGATTGGGAAATGCTATAGTCATAGGCTTGACACTCAATGGATGTAATCGTTGCTGTAAATAGTCTTTGGATTTGGCGATTATATGAAGCTCTGTTCGATGTATTTAGTAGGAATATGATTCCCGGTTGTCTTTCCTGAATCCCTCAATGCCTTCAATTTCAAATTCCCAGCATATAGAACTACTGGTATATTGAACTTGCGATGTATCTTTCGTTCATCTGCTAGGTAGATGATATCCAAAACATTACGGTGTTTTCTCCACTTAGGGGCTCTGGAAACCAGCGTCAAGAATGTGATGCTGATGTCTTATTGGTAGTTGGGTTACGGAGAATAGTCAGATTTTCGTATCCAACTCGAATGATCGATAGTTTCCTTCCAAACAGGACATAGTATGTTTCACTATTGAGATTTTACCAGAATCATTTAATAATAGGTTTAGTTAGGGGTCATCGTCACACAGGGCATTATTCCGAATTAAGTTTAGACCTTACATAATACCCCGTACTAACTTAACTATCCCGCCTACCTAAATGGATTTTTAACTGCCAGAATTTAATCTCAATATATAAAGTTAACTCTGGACACGGTTGTTCGTGGCGTTTGGAAGACGAAGAGTGTGTGGTATTTCCGCCCGGTGGCTGCCGCTCCAATGGTTTGTACCGTCTATATTAAATTCGTTTTTAGCCCAGCACTAGGTAAGGTCTTATACCCCCAGATCGATATCTACCTTAAATAAATTGATGTTAAATTGGCTTAGCATATACACTATGGATATAGAAAAGAATGATAAAAGAGCCATCCTTTACCTATGTAGGGTCTCCTTCAGTATACTGTATTTACATAATTATTCATAATTTTAGAACTCTCTGGCACTGTCCCTTCGCTTCTTGTCAACTAAACCTAAACCAGCTATACTGTATCCCAACTTATGCTTCCTTGGGTAATTAATCATCGTTTCAGATCTACAGAGTAGATATATATGACATCTTTGTCGAGTTGAAAGAGCTATAATAAAAGCACATTCTTGATTAGCTTAATCGATTACGTATTGTGAAGATGAACAAGATTTAAACCGCTCAGAACTTGGGGAAAGAAAAGGTGTGCCTGGATTACTCAGCGAGACTACATGCAGCCTTAGGCTGCGCCCCTCGGAGGAATAAATCGGAGGAATAAATCAAATCTCCCTGAGTGAGCCTAACTTGAAACACTATACTCTGCTATACTACTGCACCATTTTACTCCCTACTATGGCACACAGGAGTGGAAATGAAGGCCAAATCGATCTCAAAATCGTCTTGACTAGATGTAGAGCATGCTCTCCGGACCTGGACCCATGTGGGTGCTACCGGCCAGGAGACACCGTAAGTGGCCAGATCATTGTATCAGCCAAGTCTTTATTGCATGTCAGACGGCTCTTAGTCTCGCTCCAAGGTCAGTTAGATGTGAATACGACTTTAAAGGATCTACTAAGAAATTCTTTAAGGAATACAATCAACCAGTGTTGTTGGCTACCGTGTACACGGTCAAGTAATGTCCTACGTTCCGGTGCAAGACGACATTGTGATAACACAAGGCCAAGACGTAGTGAGTGTTCTCAAACCTTCTATAATTTCTTGAGTAACAATGTAGTTTCTTGATCTCAAATACGAGCCATCCCTCCGTTCGGTTCAGGAAAAATATAACAACGATGGGACTGCAGTCTACCGTACCCCGATCATCTTTGTCTTACCGGAAGACATAGATTGTCCCAAACCTGAGGCCACACCGAACAGTCCATTCTGCTTGCCATCCTTGCAGCTAGCTGGTTCTGGTGCAGCATCCGCCGATAAGATACCGTCTTTGAAAGAATTCCCTCCATCCTTCCACGCGACAAGATCTTCCCGATCTGCCTCAGCTGCAGCAATCTCAGTGTCGTACTCAATTCGCGCTATTGCTGATTATAAAGCCCTTTGCAACCCAGAGAAATGGAGAAGGGCCCAGGTGACGGAGCCTATTATGGTGATACCATTTACACAAGCCTGTCCACCTGTCAAGAACCTCGAATTCCCTAATGAGTTTGTGCTGCGCGTGTCGAGACCATTATCAAGTATCCCCTTTCGCAGCAGAGGTGATTCAATAGAAGCGCACGCGGAAGAGCCACCACCGCTTGTATACTCGTGTGATACTCCAAATGCGTCTACCCATTGTGCTTTTTATCTTGACGTTCCATGTTCTTCCGTGCCGCGACTTAGAGATCTATCGGTCGAGATCTCGTTATCCATACGGGAAAAGACCTTCTATTCTGCAGAACCAATGGTTGTTTTACCAAAACAAACTTTGTTGGCGAGGACATCTACTCTACGGCTTTATGATAACATCATCTATTTAAGGCGTGAACAGCACCACAATCTCGAGTGGGAATACCATCCACTCGATATTCTCGCCTCCCCGCCAAAATACAGATGTTCAATAGATGATGGTCTTACAGTAGGTTGCGATATATCTGACCAGTTGGAACTGCATTGGCACTCTGGCAACCTTGCTTCTCACTCCCTGAACACCCAGAGTAAGTTTGGCAGAGCAGCTATCGTTATCATGGTTAAACCGCCGCGAACATTACTGCCTACCTTCTATGGCAGCTTAGTTGCACGGTCATATAGTTTATTACTTCACGTATATTTCAAGCACAACCGGATCAAGAATATTGATCTTGAAATTCCGCTTCAGGTTACCCACTTACAAAATGCGAAAGCAAATGGTTCTATACGATCTGGTAGGCCTACTTGCCGGTGTACTAGATCTGTGCAGCCGGATGTACGTCCTAATGTTGCTTACATGGTATCTCTTACCTCTGACTGACTTTGCCAGGTGCTCCCAACATACGAAAGCACGATGAGAAATGTGTGATAGGCGGTGCACGAATCCTCTCTCGACATAGACTAATTGGACAGATACTCATATATAAGCTCTCAGGGATGGAATCAAGAAATATCATTAAACCTAAACTGCAACCTCAAGTAATCGTCCCTACCTTGAAGCAAAGAAAAAGATAATCGTGTCTGCACAATAAGACCGACGTTGCATTCTTTGTTCAAAATTTGCACTTTCTGTCTCCCTGAAGTTAGTAGTATTTAAGCAAGAGCATTGCTTTGGCTCAGGCGCCCAGAATTAAAGGTTGGATAGGTAGTGTTCGTTTACCCTGCAATCTCTGGTGTAAACAGTGTCTTGCTAAGCAATTGGTTCCTTTCCTTGAAGTTGGGCGTGAATGAACTAAAAAGATACGGTCATTGTATAGTATACTGGCGTATCTAACACTCACCAGACCGAATCATAATGCACAGAACAGAACAATTCACACCCGACTATATCATCAGTGACTAGATTGCGTATATGGATTCAGATTTAAAGTTGTTGAACATGCAACACAACATTAGCTGCGCCTTCCCTCTCGCCCTTTATTTTTATCTTAAATTTTTATCTTAAGTTTTTATTTTCTATTTATATATTTTTGGTGGCGTCTTGTCACCCAAAACCCAACCTACAATAGGGTTCAGATGGGTTGTGCCGAAAGTCTTAAGTCTAGGAGCAAAAACCCCACAGTGACCTCGCGTATGAAGGCAACCCCCCCCCCCCCAACCTGAATACGAAGTTTTAGAACAGCGACTTGTAGATCCCACCTGGAACAAAGCCACTTACAGGCGAAGGACGTACATGATCTGCAGGGTCAAAGCGGTTCTATATGAAAACTCTTCTCCCACCAACCAGCTTTTCATATCTGTCCTACCCATCCTAGAGGAATGGACATCCCCCCAGCAAGCAGCCCACAATTGATGGGTTGTCTAGAAACAGACGAGGCTCAGAAAGCTGATGTCGCCTGCGTGTGATGCTTTCTCCGCTTTGATTATGACGTGGACTTTCTTGGCATATTGTGCATCATCTTGCTATGATCCTATAGGGGTTGAAGTTGATCCTGGTTCGTCCGAAACGACTCGATCCATGAGGGGCAAGTCATCCACATAATACTATTCCTTTCTACAATTCACCTCTTAACCCGGCAGCCGACACCCAAGCATCAGATTGCCATTCCAAAAATCCAGCCTGGTGAGGACTGCAACGTCATCATAATGAGACATTTTGAGACATGGTACCCACAGCTGGGCTCCCGACTCAATGCTATTATGCTGCGCAACTGCGGTGAGCAGCTCGAATACTACCGGAATGACTCCACCACATACAATTCTTGTGTGAGCTGCCAAGCGGAAACAGTAGAGACATGCCTAGAAAATGCTCCAGAGTGGATGAAGGCCAGCATGTCGGTCGGTGTTGGCTGTCGAGCAGAAGCTGTGGAGACGTGTATCCTTGAAAATTCTCCAGAATGGATCAAGTCGAATATGGCTGCTGCCGGCGTCCTATTAGGCCTGCTTCCAACAATCCTCAGTCTCGCAGGTTCAAGCACAGTCGAAACTGGTTTATTAGCGCAACGTCGACCATTTCTTGCTTTGCTGCTGGCGGCAGGTGCCCCGGCAGTTTCACCAATTCGCACGTTCGAGTACCGGGACCCATTACAACTACTTTGCAGTAGTTCGGACTCTATTCAACTCTTACCGGTCCTACAGAGCCGGGGAATATGGCGATTTGCGATTATCCCTATTCAGTACTTGCTGGCGATGGGTGCGGTCGCCAATGTCGCGCATGCAAGTTGGCAACTCGGTGTTCAAACATTGTGTAGCTTCTCGACGGAAACGACCTTTCATCCGTTACTTTGGGCTTTTAGTGCCCTTATCCTTGATATACTCGGTGCTATAGCGGTGAAGCTTCGCATTCGTATTGACGAGCCCTCAGATGACTCTCCTATTACTCGCCTAGGAAAGTCTAGGAGATGGGTTGGCCAGGAGTTCCGTCTGAGCGCCGACCAGGCCAAGGCAAGTGTCACGTTCAAACGACAGTCGTACGCATTCGTCTGTATTTCTTGGTGCACTTCCACAGGCACTATTTTGCATCTTATCTATGGGACACTTACCTTTTCGAGTATCGTGTTTATAAGCACACAAGATGCACTGGGGGTTGTTGCTCGTTACTTAGCTTCCACTATTATCTGCAGGGTTATTCTCATGTTCGAGATTCATGGAATGAGAACGGCAATGCAGGGAGAGGCGGGTGAAGTTAAATCGTAGCTGCAAATGTTAGAGTGTTATCGGTGTATATACTCCGTAGAGGACGGTCCATATTGCCCGACAGCTATATCGAAAGAACCTGAAACTTAGTGAAGCGCCTGAGACACCAACTCAACATCCAAATGGGCGACAAAGATTGGGTCAGTGCTATACCGAGCTCAAATACCATCGCGGTATTGTGCCCTTTTGCCTCTCCATTACACGCGTGCCCTCTCTTCCTAGCACTTAACGTCATACCTGTCCCTTGGAAACCTCTCCCTTTCGTCGGCTCCTAGTCTTTGTCCTTGTTGCCTAGTTTCCGACACTAGTAAGACCGTCAAAATGCGAGTTCTTTTTCTCCAATAGGAACGGCAAAACTTCAGCCGGACTCTCAACTTGGTCTGGAACCATGAAAGCAAAGCCGTTGGCAACTCTCTCATCCCTGGATGCATGCTTTGAGCCATTGTGGTTTGGCGTCTGCTTGAAATTATATAAAGGATTTGAGTGGAAATGTTATCGGCAAGCTGGAAATGCACTTTTTGTCTGCTCGCCCATGCCGAATGAGTGCTTCAGGATGTTCGATATGAGCACCCGGCGTTCTTGGCATGAAACATGTACTACTACTACTACTACTACTACTACTACTACTACTACTACTACTACTACTACTACTACTAATACTAATACTTTGATCTGCTGCAAATACCCTCTTCACAATGTCAACTTACCAAGACCTGGAGCTCAATAGTTGCATTTAAGCATGGATTTACTCAGGACCATCCACTCCGCATACACGATTTTCATACAAAGTGTTTTAGATCGTTCAGTAGATATATCACAAGCTCCAGCCAGAAAACATGATGGATTCCAGCATCACATTGATAAGCCACCCTCTAGATATCATCTACAGTTACATAACTAGGATAGACAGTGTCATCAGATAAGTCAGAAGAGGCCGTCCAGTGTTTATGGATCAACTGCCGCTTCTCAATCTCGTCCGCAATGGCGACAGCCAAGTCTGCAGCCGATATGCCGGTCAGCCGTCCATCTAATACATCCTCCCCCCGTTGGGCTCCCTTCAATGGGACGTAGTCGATGGTTATTTCGTAGCTGGCGGTCTGTCGTCCCGGTCGGTACAAAGGACTAGAAGAGACGAATGTCCACGGGAAGGAAGTGTTCCCCTCGAAAAACAACAGACACGCTCTCCCGGCTTTGATATAATCTGACGCTCGGTCATTCTTCCTGATACCTTCTTCATACGTCCGTATCGTGTCCATGTCCTCTGCGGTAGCTCGGCCGGACTTCTCTGCCAGACGAGCGTTTCGGTACGAACGCAAGACGGCGCCAATCGGACCAAGCCGCTCCTCCATATACTTCACATGCGCATCACTCTCTGCCATCTGTCGTCGATAGGCATAGAAGAAACCCGGGTAATCCGCCAGAGACTCATGTGTTCCAGGAACCACGAGGCTGCCGGCGCCTCCCACAAACACAAAGTATTTGACGTTTGCCAATTTGACAGCGAGGATGAGTTTTCTCACAACCTCCACATATGGCACTATAGGTAATGGTGTGAGAAGAGACAATAGCGTTTTAGGTCGGTAGGGAGTGAGATTCTGCTTACTGTATTGGAGTGCCTCTGCTCCTTTTGTGTGCGGCCCATACTCGCTTACCAAGACCTCCAGATCACGGAAGGAGTTCGCCAGATCGTCAATGGTAGTAGTCTCGATATCCACCGTCCTCGGTGTATATAGTGGGTGTGTGCCGAATGACTGTGGCTTGCGTGAAATTCCAATGACTGCGTGTCCCCTGCGAATGAGCTCGACGGAGAGGTATGAGCCTCCAAATCCCGTAGGGCCGATGACACCTATTACTTGACTCTTCCCGGATGTAGACATGTCTCTAGACGTAGTACAACAGCACGTTAAACGGCACGAGTTATGATCGAATGATAGACCGAACAGAGCGTCTGCTAAATAATCCGTCCTGGATCGGATATTTTAACGGTCTATAGTATTATGTGGGGAAAGGTGGGGTAGTCGGGGGCCTTAATTATTTTCTAGCAAGCTCGAGGTGATCTTAGCCCCACAACACATCTTATCGCTGGGAAGCCATCTTGACCATTAATAGGCATGGGGTGTGAAAATCTCAGTCTGTCCTGCAGAGATACCACGGATAGCGATGACCAATCTGGGAGGAAATATTGTCCGTGAGAACGACCTAGAATGGACGATTATTTTGAAAATGCACTTGAGTGTGATCCTTATTACCGCAGTTCTAAATTCTGATAATTTTGTGAGTATCTCCGGCATTACAATCAGCGTCTCGCTGATGGCGCAAGCGGCCAGGTATTTCTCGGCCTATACGTATCAGGATATGAGAGTTCATATTGGGATGCCCACATAAATAGTGTATTCCTGCCCAAAGATGGTAAGCCTTGATAGATCATAGCAGTTTACCACTCACGATCCTTAAGCGAACTGCTCCACAGAGACCCAACACAGACTACTTGAACTTAATGCGGGAGCGGCCTAGTCTTAGTAGCGCCCTGGCAGGCAAATTGTTCCGCTGGAAGGTTCAGCGATCTCCAAAGAAATCACTGTACAAATATGGCCAAACATCGAACACTGTGTGATGTTAAATAGTCATGTATGTTGAATTTCTTGATTAGATTGATTATGTTGCTTTTCTATCAACATGATTATGCGAAGAAATCGACTAGGCAGCATCAATGTAAATTATGTTACCAAGGTTCAACCTCTTATCCGGGATTACCAGAGTAAAACCCAAAGTGTGCATCGCCAGGGAAGGACACCGTAAGTAAGATAGTGCGTGTAAAATTGTAACAGAGCATAGCTACTAAATGGCCCTTCTTGGCTTATGTAGTCCGCAAAGTGATTGACTCTCCTCGTTTATCGTTGTTTCTAATCAATATTTTTGCAACCTTTCGATTCAACCTAAACCTATGCTATGGACCATAAGATGCCTTAGCTTTTGAAATCTGACGCTAAGTGACTAGCAGGTGTCTAACGAACTATCAGCCACTGAGGGCCAATTCGGAAGCTATGATGAGTTTTGTACAGCGATGTTGCAGTTGCCACGTGCTCAAAGATTGGGCTGACAGCGAGCCTTACCCATGAGAAACATTTGAGATATCGCAGACCAATCCCCAACCATTACAAACAGCTCTCAACATTATACCGATAATGGCTTGTTATAGAAGGTATGAACCTGTTCAATACTAAGGATTTCATGAATTTAGGGACGAGAGTGCTAACTGAACCGTGCCCCCCGTTGCTCATAAGGAGACTCTCTTGACGCTCCTGTCATATACGAGTATGTTCCTCTATGGCAGCACAGTATGTCCCAAACTTGCCGACCTACTACGCCATGTTTGCCTGTCTCATAGAATCATTGTGCGGATTGAGGAAAGCCATGGTAGTGTGGGAGCGATGGCTGGCTTTTGGGTGAATGAATATAGCAAGCTAATTTTAGTATGTCAAAAACAAAGAGCAGAATATATGACAAAGACGTGGAATATTTCTTGCTGTTTCCAGTGGTAAAGTGGTATATTATTAGGTTACAGTGGTTTATACATGCGCTAAGGGACAGTCATCCATTATGTGGTCTTTGTTTCCTTTGTACTAAGGCCTGTAGCGATGAAGCTATCGGTCAGTTAAATTGCTATCTAACACTAGAATTATTCGCTCTGCTGCTGTTCCATACGCATACCCATTCAGCAGGGAATAGGTTCGGCGATCCTTGAACGATTCATTGTATGATTACTGCCCTTGTTATATAATGCCCGAACAAGCCAGCATAGTGGTGGAGGGGGAAGACGCTGGTTAAACGGTCACACGAGGCCCTAGGGGGGTTCGGCTTAGGCCTGAGGTTTCCAATCATGTAAAGCTACGAGGTGAACAGAAGGATGGAACGAGACGTAAACAGGTGGTCGAGCTAGTGGAGGTGCTGTGGCAGGCATGTTACTTGTATTTTAGAATTCTTTTGGCTCATTCCTATATTTCGAATGTATAGTCTGGGCATGTTAGACTTTATACGGCGTTTCTGGACTAAGATCCTGTCTCATCGACGAGGCGTCTACATAGTTAGATATTGCAATGGTTAGGGTCTAACAATCATTAATTGATTGGTTGTACAACTATAGGGAAACATGAAAGGGGTGTAAACTATAACGAAACAAAGAGGTTTCTTTCCGTGGTGAGTCAATAAGCAGAGACGATGAATGAATGTGTCTTATGTCCTTGTGAATAGGACGCAGTCATGTGAGAGAGTACATTAACACTGTATATAGAAGGGAGTGTACGAACAGTCCTTCCGTTCATTTCTAGGTCGGCCTCTTCATGTGAACCTACGACAAAATTCGTTCTTTCATGCTTGACGGCATCAAGAACGTAGACTCTTGCAAGAAGTATGTTCCTTATATACGTCTATTCTTTCCCAGTGGTGCCCTTATCCATGCTTAAAATCTAACCTCAACTGATATCTCGCACGGAAGCCTGGAAGTACTGTATTGACAAAATGACAGAAGTGACCTATACAGCACCTCTGGCCGTAGTGGGCCACTCTGAAGACATCCAGGAGCCCAGCACGGCGCAAGAACCTTTTCACATTTACACTCACTCATCTCCTCATCATATAGCCCAAATACCCGGCGCCATGCCTAGAGCTTTCCGAGACAGTACGACGGCGAGATATTTCAGGGCGGGGGGACCAAACCTCTGTGAGGCACCGTATAACTGCCGCCGCCTCCCAAGCAAGTATATCCCTTTTGACGATGTTGAGCGTATCCTCCACAATTGCAACATCCGCTTCTTGGTAACATCTCCATCTCTCGTGGAATGCACTCCAGCCTATGACGACTCAGCAGAATCGATTCAAACATTACAGGTTCTCGCCCGCAGGCACGACAATGACTCTCGAGACGATTGGCTACACGCAGCACAAGAGATACACGCTCTTCTGCGCAATCGCGGTCTGGACAATATAACGATTGACATTATTGATTGGCGACTAGCGCATGGCCCCGACATCTACCTATGCAAGTCGAGTGATGCAATCTTTCCAAAATGGGATACTGTTCGCAAACAGATTGTACAAATGGTGGATGTCTCTGGCTTTCAACTTCTGGGATGCTATCGTATCGGACATGATTTCGGTGAGGAAAACAGCACCCCTTCCATTCTGGTCACAGTCGACCCGAAGGTTGAGCGAGACTGGAGCAGTGTTGAGCACGATATTAGGAAGATCTTAACCGAGTTTGACCTTACTATGGTTGACGTGCGCATTTTCAAGGATCGTGGTATTTTCTGTGCCAATCAATCGTTGGATGAAGCAAAAGTCAGCTCCTCTCTACCCGCAGTTGAAGAGGAATGTCCGACTCGGGTGACCATTGGAAATGGCGTGGGTGCTCATAATAGTAAGAGTTATGGTACCTTCGGAGGATGGCTCAATCTACAGCAGAGCTCTGACTCTGAATGGCAGCAATTTGGTTTGACCTGTCGCCATTGCGTGTTTGATCACGTCTTCACGGATCTTCATATCTTCAAGGAAAAGGAAGAAGCGCTAAGATATATGGAGGATCAGAAAAAGAATCCCAAGAACAGGACTCCTAATATTACTGAACCCCCCTCGCGGCAGAAAGTGGACAGTCCAAATGTCAGTAGAGTACAATACTTTATTGACTACTACAGGGACATGATCAATGAGAAGAGAAGGTCAAACTCGTTTCGCACTCTGCAGGGGATCCAAGCGACAGAGAGCCTCCCTGAGGGTGTGGCACAAATGTGGGGGGATCTCAAGAAGAGCCCGGGCGATCTAGAAAACCATCTTACAGAGTTAGAGGCCTACAAACGGGCTGGCAGTTATGAGTTTGGCGAGGTTTGGGCTGACTCTGGCGATGATACTCGAAAGACGACAAACATTATGGACTGGGCACTGTTGAAAGCCCATCCAAATCGTGCATTTCCTTCTAATCAGGTATAATTTTGCTTGCTATCCTCGTCTTACCTGATCAATGCTGAAAGTATATCTAGTTCGACCAATTCAGCTCTCTCGGAGAGCGTGCACCCATGCCGCGTATAGGACACATCAAAGCCGGGATCGTACTGACCGATGAAAAGAATCTTTTTAAACAAGGTTGCAAAACAGGCGTGACTTGGGGAAAGTACAGCAAGCTCGCAACAACGGTCTTTACAGCTGCCAAAAGCGGCGAACTACGGACAACAGACGAACATTCAGTTGTTTATGACATCAAGCACGATTTCTTCAAACCCGGTGACTCGGGCTCACTTGTCTATGACGAAAGGGGCTGCATAGCAGGAATGGCCTTTGGTGGCCAAATGTCGGGACAGATTGTTGTTTTCACCCACATCGACAACCTAATTGCTGACATTAAAGACCAAACTGGAGCTAAACGTGTCGTCTTTTACGGTCAGGAAGAACCGGTAGAGGAATACGACATAGATCAGAACTAAAGTCACTTGGACGACATGCAGAATCCCTTGTCTTTCTATTTCTTTGGCTTTTTGTTTCTTCCATTTTCTATTACATAGGCTTTGATTTACCTTTCCTTTTGCAATTTCCCTACCGACACCTTCTTGTTTCTTTGTAGTAATACATCACTCAATTTAACCCCATCATAGCATCTCTAATAACCTACAGTTCCAATGCCTCGGCATAACTGTTCGCTGGTACCGATAGATATCTCGACATGGCCCGCACCAAGGAGCGGGATGCTTTCAGTTACTTGGATATGAATTGCTTTCAGTTAACCCAATTCTATTTATTCATTGTGTACCTATCAATCAAATCACGTACTAGTATTCGTCAATTTGTCTGCCACCACTCTTGCCAGACCCAAGATATTGGTTTTCGTATCCATCAGATCCAAGAATGCTACATCTACCCCCATTGTACCAAAGATATACTGACGGAGTTCCGCCGCCAACATACTATCCATACCAAAATCCAACAAAGGCTTCTGGACCTCAATTTTATCCACCGGTGTGAGAATGATATTAGAAAGCTTGTTCACCAGAACAACTTTCACCGCATCCGTAACCTGCTCTTTATCATTCGAGGCAATCGCCTCCTGGATAACTGATGCTTGCGTACTATTCCCTTGTGCAGACTTTCCCGTAATGCGCCTCAGCGCACATGTCAATACATCGAACCGCGCATCGCTCAGAAACTGCCAATACCCCTCATATCCCTGTTTCCGGTGGCCCTGTAGACCCGTATCCTCCAGCCCAGTCAGAATATGTGATTGGGGCATAAGGTCATTAGGATGAAGCGATGTAGGAGGTTGAGTGAGTCCAAAATCCAAGATCTGAACTAGTTCATCTTCCGTAAGAGGCCGGATACCTTTACGGAGAAGCAAGTCCTCAATCTCCGGGTGCTCATGCAGATACCCGACCTCAGAGACCATCCCCAGACCGAGAGATACGGCTTTCAGACCCAGTCCACGACGGTACCGCGCAAACGCGTCTAGAAAGTTGTTGGCCGCACAGTAGTTGCTTTCTGTGGCTGTGCCCAGTTTCCCGGAGATAGAGCTGGTTAGAACGAAGAAGTCCAGTTCTTTCTCTTTGTCTAAGGCGGAGATAGCGTTGTGAAGGTTCCATGTGCCTTGGACTTTGGCTTCGGTGCCGTTAAGCCAGTATTCGCGCGGCATGTGTTTAAAGATGGCCTCGTTGAGGCCCATAGCTGCCTGGATGACACCTCCGAGAGGGGTTGATGCCGCTGCGACGGCTCTGTGAACGTCTGTGTATTTAGTGATGTCGCCTTGTATCACGGTGCACTGTGCGCCCCCTTCTTCTAGTTCGTTGACCAAGCGCTTGGCAGCTGGTTTCTGTAGTCCTGAACGGCCGAGAAAGATGAATTTTCGGGCTCCTCTGCTCATCATCCATTTGGATACACTGCGGCCTAGACCACCAAGACATCCAACCAGTAGATAGCTCTTATGGGGATCTAGCTGCGTGGAGAACTTCTCATGTACGACAGGTACCATCTGTGTTTGATCCTCGAAGGATATAACAATCTTACCCATGCGCTTCGCATTATTGAAGTGGTTGAAAGCCGGTACGATATCTGAAACATTGAATACGGACAGAGGCTCAATAGGCCGGATATCGCAATTCCGCAGCAGCGAGATGACGCGAGCCACTAGACCCTGGTAAACGCGGTGCTGTGCTGGGGATGTTGATTCGGCCAGCATGCTCATATCGAACGCTGTGAAGGTCGTTCCGCGGGAGAACCTTTCCATGTTCAGGCGGCCCTGGTCAAGAAGGTCCCGTTTGCCGATTTCAACAAAGCGACCGAAGTCTGCCAGGCAGTCCCAGCTTTCGTGTAGGAGTTCTCCGAGTAGCGAATTAAGGATAACGTCGACTCCGCGTCCATCTGTAATGGACTTGACGCTCGAAGCGAAGCTTGAGTCGCGTGAGCTAAATATATGGTCCGGCTTGAGTCCGAAGTGCTCAACTAAGTATTGTTTCTTTTCGTCGGTTCCAACAGTTGCGAAGACCTCTGCACCTATGAGTTTCGCTATTTGTATTGTGGCGATACCGACACCCCCTGCGGCTGAGTGAATGAGAATAGACTCTCCAGGTTGCAGATTAGCTCGGTGGTAAAGAGCATATATAGCCGTGGAGAAGACCATCAGAACAGATGCCATGGTACGCAGGTCCTCGCCATCGCGCAGCTTAACACAACTCCAGGCCGGAACGGTCTCGTATGTGCCAAAGTAACCCGGGTACATGACGGCGACCTTGTCACCAATACTGAGATCCGTAACGGTAGGCCCGGTAGCGACAATATGACCTGTGCATTCCAAGCTGCACCGTGCATCCGTAGTCTGGACATGTCCTGCCAGTGCATTCACATCTTTGGCATTGAGACCGACACAGGAGACCTTGACAACCACATCATCTGCTCCCAGCGTCGCAGGGCCTGTGTAAGCTCGTTTCACAAACTGTGCCGTACTCAGCTGTCCTGGCCTCTGCACAGACAAGCCTGCATTTCCAACACTCGCAAGTGGCATAGGTGATGCGAGTCCATCTTGCCGTGCACGAAATTCTCTGTTCATGCGCTCGTCAGGAACTATACGGCTGATTAGGAGATGGGAGCCATTGTCGATATACTCGCAATCATTGATTGGCTTCTTCCCGTTTTGAAGTATCCTCGTAATGTCCTGTGAAATCACTGTAGCATCGGTCGTTGGATCCAGCTCGAGCGAGAAGATCTTAGTCGAGGGCTGCTCGATCACGACAGCGCGAGCAAAGCCTGCGAACAAGGAAAGCGTGGGGTTGAATTCTTGGTGTACTCCGGATCCTGTAATCCAAACAATCCACGCTGCGTGTTCGATTATCTGTTTGAAGCCGTCAAACTCTTCCTGTTGAACGGTGCCAGCAAGGATTGACCTTTCCAGCTCAACTGTAGAGATGACCAGTGAGTTAGGAGGGATTTGCAAGTCCCCTAGGTCTGCTAAAACCACCCGCTTGATCGGCATGCCCAGATCCTCACTCAAATGACTAGCCAGGTGCCCATCGACAGGATGTGCTGATGACCGGCAGATGAGTAGAACGCTGTCGAAATCTAGAGTAGAACAGCTATTCATTGCCGGTGCTGGGCGAATAAGCTGCACATTGCGAGCTGTTTCCGAGCGAGAGTTTAGGACCGAAAGCCCATCAGACTTCCAGCTGCTGTGAACATGAGGCGCAAGGAAGACTGTTTGATAATCTGTGTAGGGGGCTAACCTATCCATCATAGCGATATCGTCGCCTAGAATTACCAAACCGAACTGTTCACTTGCTGATGCCTTCCGATACTGCACGGATCGAAGCCCCAATGGCACAACATAATTGTGGACCTCGGCAACCTCGAGTCCACCGTCGGAGGCCAGACTCCCCAGAGAAAATGAATTGAAGCGTCTGTAAATACTTGGTGCATCAAGAACCTCCAGGAAGGCCAACGTGATGAGGGATAAGTCCGTCGAGAGGCATAGGATATGCGCGTCAGGGTTCTTATGGACGACCAAGTCTAGGGCTGCCAGCAGGTTGGCCTTGGATCCGAACGACCCCAAATCGGATGTTGAGAGAACATGATCGATCGCTGATGAGAAAGTCGCACTGTCGTGTAGCTGGCTAATGTCGGGCTTCCAGGTCACTCGTGTTATAGGATGCCGCACCTCCATATTTTCGTTTCCTATGTACGCAGTCACGTCAACATCTTTGAAACGCGCTATGAGCTGCTGTTGGCTATCGAACAAGACGCTGTCGATCTTGTTGGTAGCCTGGCCGGTCACCTTGGACGCAGAGCAAATTGTGCCTTTGTCAGTGGGACTAGTGGGCAGGCGGATATTTACACTTCCGAGCCTAGTCGGCACTTTACCAACCATCGCGTGGATAAACCCACCGGTGCATGCAATAAGGGCAACCTGGAAGAGATTGTCCAGCAATACAGGATGTAAGAGGTACCGGGGGTTGACTTGCGCCCCCTCGACAGCGGGGGTAAGAGTTTGTGTCCGGGCTTCTGCATACAGTATACCCTTGGGGTCAGGCGTGTGGATGTCATACATGTGTTGGAAGGTTGGTCCAAATGCAAGACCACCATTAGAGATACTCTCATACCACAACTTCCTGGACTGGGGGGCCAGGCGACAATCTCTGGATGGGAACAGTGTGCTGCTGGCAGGTATGGATTCCAGCCTTATCGACCCCTTTGCCCGAACAGTAGGGCCGTCCTCTGAGATAGAAGAGATTTGAAATTCCCACCAAACCTTGGAGTCTCTAACGTTCGAGATGGGGAGTGGACGAAGCTCCGTATATAGTTCGATTGATCCCTGCTCCGGCAATGGAAGAGCCTTCAGCAAGTCGACATGCCGAAGCGCCACAGATATGCCTGCACCATCCGCCCCAACAGGCAAATTCTTTTGCATTAGCGCCTCCACAGCCATGGCCAGATATCCGGTGGCTGGAAAGACAACTGTGTCGCCAAGCTTATGGTCACATAACCATGGAACATTTTCCAGCTGCAAGAGATTCCGCCATCCAAATGTGGTCTGGTTTCCGCCTGGCACTTCCCTACCTAAGAGCTCGTGTCTGGGATGTGGGGTACTGCGCCATTCTCGGCTCACTCGAGATTCATTCCACGGTGGTTGTTCATAGTGCCATGGATAGGTCGGTAAGTCATAGATGAACCTAGGTGTGCCATGGTCGTATGTATGGTTGAGTTTTGAGAAGTCTACTCTGAAGCCCTGGGCAAAGAGTTGACCAACGAAGCTGAGTAGGGAGACCGAAGAGTCTTGGCTTCGATTAAGGGTGGCAAGATAGGAGGTAGACTTTCCGAGTGTCTGCAGGATAGGCATCTTTAGGGCCGCATGTGGCCCGAGCTCAACAAACGTACAATAGCCGATCGACTCAGACAGAGACGTAAGACCTTCGCTGAAACGAACCGGGGATTCCAGGTTGGCACGCCAGTACGCTGCTGTGCGGACATTCTTTCCATGAATTTCCTGGCTCAGGACAGTGGAGTACATGTGAATGTCACGGACTCTGAAATCAGAGGATTCTTCCTGCTCAAAGGCTAATGCACATTGAAGCAGCTTCTCGTACATGATGCCAATGGCAGCCATATGGTGGGAGTGATAAGCCCTGCCATCTGTCTTCAGCTTACGAGCAAACACACCTTCTGCTTGTAGCGATACTAAAATAATATCAATGCATTCTCTATCCCCACTGATGGTCACACTTTCTGGCGAGTTGATGCATGCCACCTTGACATTTGCGCTGAAGCCAAGCTTATTGATCCACACTAGTGCATCATCGGAGTGCAAGCCCACGGCAGCCATTGCTCCTTCAGTCTCTAGCCTCGTCACGGAATAGCCTCTGTAATATGCGATGATGATAGCCTCGCGAGATGTCAGTAGACCTGCTGCATATGCAGCCGCAATCTCACCCGACGAGTGTCCGATGACTCCCTGGGGAAGCATAGACCAAGATCGCAGGACGTTGACCAAACCGATCTGCACCGCAGTGGTGATGGGCTGTGCGTAAGCTGCCAAATTTAATGGACAGGCCTCCGAGTCATCCATCAGTATGTCACAAATCTTCCATTCAGGGGCATGAGGCAGGCTGCTCAGTTCGTAATCAAGCTGCCGAATGGTGTCTGCGAAGACTGGGAAGTGCAATAGCTCGCGGGCCATACCCTTCCACTGCGCACCTTGTCCAGTAAAAACAAACGCCAACTTGCTATCCGCCATGTTATTGTCTAAGTTGGCTTGTGTCAGGTTGTCGACATGGAGATCTTGCGCAAGGGTTTCCTGTCGGGCAATAACATAGCCACGCACACCGAGATGTGATCGCCGTTGCCCCAAAGTGTAGACGAGATCAGCAATGGAGACGGCTGAGAAATTCAATTTAGACAGCCTTTCGACTCGCCCCTGCAAAGACGGTAGCTTGTTTGCGGAAAATGGAAGTAAATATGGCATCGAAGGGGCCACACTGCGCCCATCGAATCCATTAATGCCATTACTGATGTGACTGTCAGCCTCACCATTTAATGAGCCCGTTAAATCAACGTTCATTTGCAAGGCCTGCCTGCAAGACACTCTGTTAGTCTCACGACTGGCCTCTTCTAGGATGCCATGAGCGTTGGCGCCGCCGAAACCAAAGGAATTAATACTAATGCGGCGTGCGCTGCCTTCCGACGGGAAGTCTGTCATGCGAGTCACAACTTCTACCCCCCATTCATCTGTTTTAATTTTCGGATTTATCTGCTTTACACTGATGGTAGCAGGAATCTGGCGCCGCTCCAGAGAGAGACTGGCCTTCATGATGCTTAGCAAACCACTTGAGGCCTCTCCGTGTCCCAGGTTCGGCTTGACGCCGCCAATTAGCGTTGGCCGGTGGCGTTGGTCTTTGCAAAAAACACGAGAAAGTCCTTCGACTTCAATTGGGTCTCCGACACTTGTGCCAGTACCGTGGACCTCAACGTAGGCAGTCTCTGCTGGATCAAGTCCGGCACGAGCATAGGCCTTGCGGATAACTGCCTCCTGCCCATCGACACTTGGCTGTGAGATGCCTGGTGTTCGACCGTTACTGTTCACTGCGGTTGAGCGGATTATGGAACGAATCGCATCCTTGTCGCGGATGGCATCATCCAGTCGCTTGATATAGAGCGCACCGACGCCGTCGGCTCGAGCGTACCTAGCCCCAACATCAAGAGTTAACCAGGCTTGCCCGTTGGGTATTACCGGGCAGAGGAGGGTCAAGGAGCCTCAACTCACCCATCAGCGGAAGAATCAAACGTTTGACACTTTGAAGCTGGTGAAAGGACTCCACCCAGCGATGTCCCAACATGCACCTCTGGAGTTTGTATGAGGTTAACACCAGCCACTACGGCAGCATCACACTCGCCATTTTCCAGCGCAGAACAGGCCATATGTAATGCATAGAAGGATGAGGAGCATGCTGTGTCCACCACGCAACTCGGCCCTTTCATGTTGAAAACATGGCTGATCCTGTTTCCGAGGAGGGTTGCCCCCATACCCAGGTGGGTGAATCTGGTCATGCTCTCCACATCCTTGGTCTGCATGGCGATGAAATCCGGCGTGAATGAAGCGACTGAATTGCTGTTAGTCTATCAAAAAGCTGATGAGGAGACGACCGGCTGTCTACACACCATAACATCCAACATTCGCACCCGACACATCGTCCAGGGTAACCCCAGCGCTTTCGAAGCTTTCAAAGACAACCTCCAGCAGCTTCCGCTGTTGTGGATCCATATCCGCAGCCTCTCGGTTGTGGATGCCAAAGAACTGGTTGTCAAAGTTCCGAATGTCTTCCTGTAGAAAGCACCCGCCCGATGCTACTGTGGTAGACGGCTCATCCTTGCTCCCATGAAAGCTGTCAACGTTGAACCGTGACTTGGGCACTTTGCCAGCTGCACAGCGTTCCTCCGCTAAGAAGTCCCATAGTTCGGACGGACTGGAAATATCACCGGGAAACCGGCAGCCTAGGGCATACTCATCAGTGGTTTGTCGCCGTTTTCATAGAACAATGCTTACCAATGCCAACTATAGCAATTGATTTGTTATTGGACACGGCCGGTTCGCTGTGGACGTTCTTTAATGGCGTTGTTTGGTTCATGGGGAACTGCATCTTCAATGGTAGGCTATGATCCTAAATATAATACTTCTTATATTATGTGCGAAAGTCATAGGCATGGTGTTTTTATCCCTGTTTGCGAGTGCGCGTATGGTTATATTATAGAGATGTATGCCGAGTCCCATTTTCGAAGTGGGCCGGCGCTCCCCGACTCGGCAATACCCAATGTGACGAAATGTCGCGCTGCAGATGAGAAAGCTGAGAATTTGAGAAATGGTGAGGCAGATATGGAGGCTTACACAGTACATGTGCTGAAAGACGTTCAGCCCCCACCCCGAGCCGTCCAGGGTGGGGGCCATGATACTAAGGCATTCTCCCTTGCAGAACCCCGCATGCCCGTACGACTACACAGCCCACTACTAGTACTTAGCAGGGAGAATGAATAAATTCTACCGATAGCACTAGGAATGGAATAGTACCATGCACAGTATCTTGTATAATTTATGCAATTAGCATTGCGTGAGTGATATGACCAATTTGGATGGCTTATGTCATCTCAGTACGAAGAATATATATTAGCGGAGCAGTTATCCGGTAGATCAGCAGCCTCGAGGAAGATAAGGTACATAGAAGCTTGGCTCACCTTATAGAGTTCGTATAACCAGGTCATACAGGTTTTACATGCAGATCAACAGGAAAATTCAAGTAAGGTAGGCAATCTGACTCACATAAGCCTCCGTTATAACTTATTCCTAAAATTAAGTGGAGATAAAGTGATGTTCATGGGCGGCTAAAATCACCAAAGTTTTATTTTTAAAAAAGTTATTAAAAAAGAAAAAGAGAAAAGAAAACCCATTTCATTCATTTATGATTTGTCTAGCTTGCTAGTAGGTATGCTATGGGGCCATGTTTCATGCACCTACGCCAGCTAGAATCCTAGCCTGTAGTACCCATATCACGCCAACAGTTCCTCGGTTAAAACTTTCTGGACCTCCTCCAGGTACATGCTAATGTGTGCCGGTTCCTCATATCCATCGTTGAAACTGTATACGAGCCGCAACCGATCATAGAACGTGTATATGAAAAACATGGACATGCCGAGAACAATGTCGACGCCCATTTTCACGTCCAGAACCTTGACCGTGCTGCCATACGTGTGTTGTACATACCGCTCAACAATGCCCAGGCTGCTGATTTGTGCATCTCCGGGAATGGGCCCCTGGTACTCGGGCAATTGGATGGCTTGGGAGAGGACTCGTGTCATGTGTGTGTGCAGGGGCAGGATCTCAGGATCATCCTTCACAGTGGTCCGGTAGTACTTATCCAGTGCATGGGCTGTCTCCCAGAATTGTGTAGGGAGGTCGAGGTCCAAGGGAAGAGGTGTGTAGTAAACCGAAGCCCCGTACTCGCCTGTGTTGTATGGTTTGGGGAGGTATGGCCGCAGGTTGAACAGCCCTAAGCTTACATACCGGGATAAAGTGCCGTTTGGATTAGCATGTTTGATAATCGCCTGGATGTACGCTGCATGTACAGCCGAGGTAACGCTGATGCCCTTCTCCTTGCATACTTTTACAATCGCTTCCGTTGTCAGCGAGGGGAATGTCATTTCTGCATTCTGTGACCGACCAGCAGGTACGGTACCAACTTTGGACACCGGGCCAACACCCGGAGCTTTGGTCGCATAGCTCATGAGGAGCGCCGTGGCTTTCTCGGTCTCCTCCGGCGTCGGCTCGGAGACCTTGAGCACTTCCTCAATGGAGGGTGCCAACCGGGTATGCTCTCCACCAAATGTGACCTCCTCGGCTGGGGTTGCCAAAGCTGCCAGATAGCGGTCCCAGAGGAGTAGTGTACCGGTGCCATCAATTGTGTAATGCTGGGCGCGCAGTACAAGCTCCGATGAATTCGGGATGTAATACAGTGTAACCTGCTTGATCGGTTCAACATTGCAGTATAATTCCTCCGCATCTGCAGCAGGTGAAACAACAAAGGTTGAGGCAAGCCACTCCTGTAAAGCCGTCTCATCGGGAACCTCGTAGACCATCGTCGTGCCATCAACTGTGGTAGCAATCTGGGGCTGCTCAGACCGCAGCTGCTTCCAGGCGCGCTTGAGTGAGGCTTCGATGTCCGCCGGGTTGATATCGAGGTCAACCTTCAATTTAGAGAAGATGGTGTACTGGTGGCGGCCATCGCAGTGAGCTGCTGACACCGATCCCGTATACACAAAATACCCCTCCATTCCGGTGACAGGGCGCTCCCAGCGGCGTTCGGATACTTTTTTCCAACTCATGATTGCTCGGCAGTCTTTGTTTGTGAAACAGATCGAGGGAGGAAGATTGAGACTTAGGAGATAGTGAGAAATGGAGAGGGACACGGCGGGTTATCCCTTTGGATCATGGCAATTTTAAATCAGCCCCGAGCATTGCTGGGCAGGGTATTTAGGCAGTCTTGGCCTTGCGGCCTTGTATAGCTTTTCTTTTGTGTTCCTGATACTTTCCGCATGGGACCGTGCTGTGATCTCCGCCCATACTCGGTAGTTCATCCTGGCTATCCTTTGTCTTGAGTGGGTCTAGCCACCTCCGCACGGGCTGTGCCGTGAGTTCCTGTCCACTCCTTGGCAATCCAGTCAGCACGAGGATCGGCACGTCGCCTGACTATGGCCCCATTAGCCGCCAAAGTACTTTTTTTTTTTTTTTTTTCTCTGTCGGCGCTTGTGAACTTGCTTGGTATTTCAAGAAATTCAAGCAATTTAGTCTTTCTACCTAGTCTAAGTCTGCGGAGTGGTAGTTGAGGACGGAGACGGGCGAAATAGAATGAAATGAGCTTATAACAGAATAAATCAATAAATCAATAAATCAATAAATCTAAGAAACTAAATATATTAATAGTATTAAGAACGGAAGTTAATTTTGCCGTACTCTAGACTGAATAAATTAGATAATATTTATTTTAACTTCAATTTCTCCTCCGAAATTAGAGAATTGAGAACAATTATTAAAATAGAACAGGGATCTTCAGAGCGATGGAAATACTCGGACGAGGAATGTGAATAATGGCGGAGTAAATGATAAAACTTAATGGCAGACCGTAAGTCGACCCACTCCGCTAGTACTACTATCACAAGGTTGGATTTATCAAGACAACCGACCCCACCGCAAGGGGCATAAGCAATGAGACGCTGACAGGACGACTAATTAACTCTGATTCGCCCACACTTTGACCAACCCTACCCCCTCCCTGGTCAGAAGCAATGGAGGGGCCAGACGAGGCGTAATACATCCCGATGGGGGCTGATTCTGCAGGTTAAGCAAGGGCAGGCATGCATGACGACTCTCTACTCCGTACATGCCAGTGCATGGCAAGCTGACCCGACTATTTTCAAGCCCGTAAGATCCCTCTGCCTTTCATTTTTGTCAACGTACTGTTCATTTTGCTTCCGCGTCGCTTTCCTCCTCATAATCCCGGACGAGCACAACTAACCATCATGGCCCTAGACGTACCAGATGGCACCCCCGACCGTGGGGAAGGTGTCGTGATCTTGAGCATCATCCTCATGGTCCTGATAATTCTGGCCACGATCACTCGTATTATGAGCAAGATTATCGCGCACCAAAACTGGTGGTGGGATGACCTATTCGCAATTCTCTCCGTGGTAAGTTCCCTCGCCGGCACAAGCGTATATCCAACCCCGAATAATGACCAGGAATACTAACCACCACATCCCAGATATGCGAACTGGTCGTGCTATCCCTGGTCCTAGTATGGCGAAACATAGGCCTGGGCTATCACATGTCAGTCGTGGCGTCCATCAACCCGGAATACCTGATCAGCGGCTCCAAATATCTCTTCATCGCAATCTTCTTCTTCGATGCCTCCGTCTGCCTTCCCAAGATCTCCGCGGTCTTCTTCTACGCGCGCGTATTCCGCTCCAATAACAGCGCATTCCGCATCAACCTCTGGATCATCGGCGCCCTCGTCGCGGGCTGGCTCATCTCCGCCGAAATATCAACCATTTTCCAATGCAACCCCATCGCCAAGGCCTGGAACACCACCTTACCAGGAACATGCATTAAACAATACGACTGGTATCTCTCGACTGCGATCCTTTCCACCGTAATTGACTTCTACATCCTCATCCTCCCGATTCCGATGATCTGGTCCCTAAAAATGAGCCTCCGACGCCGTATCTACCTCCTCATTTGCTTTTTCATGACCTACTCCGTCATCGTCCTGTCCCTGGGCCGTCTTGTCGCCGTCGTCAACGTTGTCCCGGTCATGTCCACCGATTTGACATGGGAGTTTCCCCTGTATCTATACTGGTCTGTCCTGGAGGGGTCGATTTCCATAGTCTCGATTAGCGTCCCGAGTGGTATCGCTCTGGTCAAAGCCATTATCCGACCGGAGGGGAGTGCCTGGGGGTCCACCAATGGGAGTAGTGGGAAGCGCGGAAGCTATGGAAATACCACTACGATCAAACCTGTCAAGGAACGGTCCATGCGCAGCTACGGCGATAGGGGGAGCGATGACCATCTCGTTTCGGACGTCGAGACAGTCAGAACAGTGAATTCGGATGAAGATGATGCGACTATCCCACTAGGCGGAATCAAGATCCGGACGGATATCCGAGTTATGAATCGTGAGAAGCAATCAAAGAAATAAATCAAATAAAAAAAAAAAGAAGAAGAAGAAGAAGGGAGACGGAAGCCAAGAAACAAAGATAACACATGAAGAAAAGAAAGAAATGAGTGTGATGACCCTTTAAGCAGGCGGGTCGGGTGGAAATGTGGTTTATCCTGCCATACGACGTTCTGACTAGCACCTAGCTATGTATATACCCCTTTTGTGCACTGACGGTTCAATGATATCCATTTGCGCATGTTTATCTGTTTTTGCCTTCTTCCATTTGTTCAGAGGCAAACCCTTCCTTTCACAAGCTTCCTGTACATACAAGTATTGTCAATTTAATTGCTTTGGACAACTTGTAAACTCCGATTTTGTAAAGCCATACGTCATGTGCTCTTTTGGTTTCCAAATAACTTGCACAAGCTTCTTGCCTTCTTGCATGGCGTGCTAGCTAAGGCAAACTGGTACAGGAAAATACTGAGATCCTTCCCGGATCTCGGCGCCAACTCAAGCCCTGTCCCTTTGATATATAAAAAGGACACGGGCCCATTTCTCCCCATTTTCCATACTTACCGAGTACTACGACTTCATACTAGAGCCTCGAGTGAGGAAAAAAGATACATAAAATCATTCCAAGACCCGCAGTTCAAGGGCATGACTCTATCTATTCTGCACGCAAATTCGACTTTAATTATAATGATAAAAGACAGGGAATCAATCACTGTAGAGAGACGAGATCCTCCGCGGCGTAACAAGCCCAATCACAGTACGCATACTTCAAGCGGGAACAATAAGGAAGCACCTGAAATTTTGTTGGCAAAGTTAATTAAATTGATATATAACATTCCCGGGCATACGAATCAATGATCCCAATGGCGTAGATGCAGTGTGGCCATCACGTGCTGCAACCCCTCGTAGTCCCAACCGCGCTGTCGAGACAGCGATCGCCAGCTCGCTGAATACTGTCCCTAAGCCTTCAACGTTCGCCCAGATTGATAGTCAGTCCGCCAACTATGTCAACCGAACCACTTCTACCTTCCTATTCCTCTATTCCGGAGTATGAACGAGAACGGCGTCCCTACCAACACAGGCAGGGTAGAAGGGTCAACTCAACCCCGCTTACTCCGTCGACTCCGCCGATTCAATCTCTAAGCGCCCCGTTCTTCGTCGGCGCCGTGATAACCTCTACATATTGGTCCTACAAGAGCTATACAGCTTCGGACGGGGTACTTTTCTATCTATATATCACAGGTCTGAGATCTCTGACTATATTCCAGACCCTATTGGGGCCAGCCCCTTTACTCCCTTACTTTGCGTCGTTATTCCTCGTCCTCTCTTTCTGTTCGTGGATCGGCTACCTAGTCTCCATCCTTTACGACCAGGACGAAATTTCTCTGTTCCAGCGCAAGCTTGTCATCTGGATATCAGTTACCGGAAAGGTGGTTTTGGGGGTCGCACACGCTGTCATCTGGTTCGAGTACAAACAATTCTTCCCCGGCACAAAACAACCCAACTGGATTATTATGTTTCTTGCGACGCAAGCTTGGTGGGACCTTTTACTATTGATGGGGTATTATCCTATGCTGCGAATAATGTAATGGAAGGCTGGGCTAAACTGTTCATGAGGTTCAGTATGAATGGAAGAAATACATTTGTTCTGTCCTTGTCGTGGCTGAGCGTCAAACCTAATAACTATAGTTACCTATTTGAACACCCATGGACCACTAAGATCTATTCCACTAAACCTTCTTCGGTTAGCGTGCAGTGGAGCCACGGCCCCGCAGGCGACCTTTGTTGCTCCTCATCCTGCGCAGGGAGTCGGAAGCTTAGCATTCTTGACACTGTGCGCAATGGCCTATCGACCTCGTATCAGCAAAGGGTGTGGCAATTGTCGCACCCGCCGAATAAAAGTACCCTTCTGCTGTTTCCTCTTATATAGAAGATCTTGCTAAACGTTGGTCGACAGTGTGATCAAGCAGAACCGACATGTTCGCAATGTGTGCGAGCATTCTTCTCTTGTCCAGGATACCGCGATCCGCAACAAGTGCATTATCGCAATGAGAACGAGAAAGTTAGATCCCGGGTTCGATCCGCTCAATACAGGGCTCAGCGACGTGTCAGCTCGGCAAAAGAAACCGCTCCACAAAGTCGCCGAGCCTTCAAAGCCGCCGTTGTTGCCCAATCTCTACAGTCCCTCCCTGCATCCCTTCCTTCATCCACCTCCGCCGAGTCAGTCGGATTTTTCTTCCGGTACTACGTTCTTGATGATGTACACAATATACCTATCTATCTAAGTGCCTCCCAGATGGAAGCGCTCGCAGCAACCAGCCCATCGGTCATGCAGAGTCTGGTTGCAGTGGGCTTAGCAGGGCTGTCTAACATCAAAAAGTCCACGGATTTAAGGACAAAAGCGACTGAAGAATATACACAAGCATTGCATCTGATCAACAGCGCTCTGAAAGATGAAACTCAACGTAAGAGTGACGCTACACTAGCGGCGACGATGCTTCTTGGCATGTTTGAGGTAGGTTGAGCTACGTCGGTTAAATTAGACGAAACATATTGATTCCAGTAGGTCTTGACTTGCAACACTCCATCCTCTTTACAGTCATGGGCACAGCATGTCCGTGGTGCCGCAGCCCTCATAGAAATGCGAGGGGCCGAGCAGATCAAATGGATCGTCGGCATGAGAATGTTCACCCACCTGCGAGTGCAGATCGTAAGCACTAATAGAACTCTCTTGGAAGCATTTATATCTGCTGATAACCCAATTAGATAGCCAGTTGCTTGCACTGGCGCTTGTCCGTTCCGACATCGATCGTGCACTGGTCCCTCCAGGCTATGACAGAGAGAGCAACGGCCGACGCGAAAGCCGATGAGCTAGTTGATCTGGTTGCGAGTGTTGCCCGACTACTATCCCAGGCAAGAATGAATTTGGCATTTGATATAGTACCCTCGGCAGCAACCATTGACGGATACCTTCGACGGTGGAGACACAGCCTTCCACCTCGATGGACTTACCAGACCGTACGAGAGCCGCCCAGGCGCGACCGGAGTTCGTCCCATATGAAATTCTACTATACCCAGGTATATCATCTATACCCTGACCTTTGGGCATGCAATATCTGGAACTTTTACCGGAGTGCTCGGATACTACTCAATCAATTAATTCTCAACACCGCAGAGATAAGTGGCCAAGCAGAACATGTCCAGATTAGACAAACTGTGGCCCAGTTAGCTACCGAGATTGCAGAAAGCGTTCCTTTCGCACTTAGACTTGTAGACAACGGAGCCACAGAGTTCCCATCGCTTGACCACTGTCTGGGGGGTTTTACGATTCTATGGCCCCTATACGTGGCGGCCAATACAAGCCCATTAGGCTCTACATTGCGGGAATGGGTGGTCGAACGATTAGAGACCATTGGGAATGACATGGGTATAGGGCAGGCACAGTTCATGGCGAGAACTCTACGAAACACGTGTGCCTCTGTCCCTTGATTACGAAAATTTCTCTTCTTTCTTTTTGCATCGATCTCCTAAGACGGGTGGCTTAATATAAATCTTCTAAAGTGTGTGTTGTTCTAACCCATGTCGCATCCGCTATGTGGGTCACTATCGTATAATATTCGACTATGTACAATATTTCACCTTTTCTAGCACACAGCCCTCTCAAGGCTTCCCGAAAATGCAACAATATCATACACTCCCAGGAAAGACTACATTTACAAAAGGCTGGTTGGGGGCCCAGATGCACCCACCAATCTCATCAATTTGAAGAGCAGGCTCAAATCGCCCTCTGAACTGTTTTCTGGGATGCTTCCACGCCCATTTAATATCTCCACAAATTGGTTTTTCGTGAGCGTTAGATGCAAATCAGACGTGCCGATGGACCTATCCTGGTCTGTTTTGGTGCGATATGTCAATGCTCCATTGCTCAGAATTAGCCGCCAGCTTTCCTTTTTGTCTTGCAGATGGAGGTCTATCGTGAACGATTCTGCTGCGGCTTTAGGTCCATCCAATTGAACTGACAAGAGAGTAAGCAGTTGTTCTATCGCTAGCGCGGCCCTGTATTCGCGTTTTGGAGGTTCCTGATGACCGAGTGGCGTAGGAGAGCGCATATCCTGGGCACCGGAAAGGTAGAAGTTGCGCCAAGTGGCATTCTCACAACCATATGCCAGCTTCGTGTATACAGCTGCCAGCTCAAGCCTCGACTCCTTGTGTTCGGGATGAGCGGCTATGGCATGGCCCAAGAGAGTCACTGCAAAACGTGAGTCGCCGTTCCTGGCATACTCTCTTGCCTTCCGAACAACCTCGTCTACACCTCCCATACAATCAATGTATCTCTGTCCAGCTTCAGCCGCTGGGTACTCCCATAAATGTGCTGGATTCCCATCGAACCAACCCAAATAGCGTTGGTAGATTCCCTTGACATTATGACTGACAGAGCCATAGTAACCCTGCGCATGCCACGCCATTTGCAGTGCTGGTGGGAGGGTGAATCGCTCTGCAATTTCGATGCCTGTCAGGCCGAGATTCATCATCCGGATGGTTTGGTCATGGAGGTAGGTGTAGAGGTCTCGTTGCTCCGATATGAGCTTTACAATTTCGTCCTGGCCCCACGTCGGCCAATTGTGGCCAGCGAAGAGCACATTGGCTTTCTGTCCATAGAGGACTGCTGTTTCGTCGAGATAGCGTGCCCAGGCCTTCGCGTCACGAACCAGAGCCCCGCGGAGCGTGATTATATTGTGAAGGCAATGCGTCGCACATTCAGCAATGCAAAGTGCCTTGTGTTCGGGGAAGTAGAAGTTCATCTCCGCCGGCGCCTCGGTTTCAGGGACCATTTGGAACTCGATCCGAACGCCATCCACTGTCCGTTCCTCGCCTGTCTGGCAGATGGAGACGTTTGGAGGAATCAATGACATCGTGCCGCTAGACGGCATCATTCCAAGACCACAGCCAATGTGACCATCTGGCCCTTTCGGTAGGCGCATGCCGTACATATACCCTGCACGCCGACGCATGGCATCGCCGACGTAGATGTTCTCGCTAGTCGCTTCGGCCATGAATCCCTCCGGGGCGATAATAGGTATCGATGTATTCATGCCAGGTTCGAGCACGCCCTGAGCTCCTCCAAAATGATCTACATGTGAATGTGAGTAGATCAAACCAGTTACTGGTCGGTCTCCGCGGTGTTCACGGTAAAGCGCAAGTGCAGCCGCTGCACATTCGACGGATGTCAACGGGTCAATCACAATGACCCCTCTATTTCCTTCAACAACGGTCATGTTAGAGAGATCGAAGCCTCGGATTTGGTAAATTCCATCAGTTACTCGGAAAAGGCCCTGGATGGAGTTCAATTGGCCCTGTCGCCACAGCTTCGGTTCAGCGGTGGCAGGGCATTCTGCGTCTCGGAGAAAATCGTATTCGTCGTTGTTCCACACTACGCGGCCATGTGCGTTTCGTATGATGCATGGTTTTAATGCATGGATAAACCCCCGAGTGGCATTATCAAAGTCCGCTCGGTCATGGAAGGAGGGTGAGAAGGTCATGGTAGAGGTTGTGTATTATATACTTGGAATTTGTTGTTCGGTTGGTTGGTTTCAATGGTATACTCTTCCACAACTCTGCGGGAGGGAGCGATTCTATATTTTGCCCTGGCCAGTTAACAAAAAATAAATAAATGAATGAATAAAAAGAAGAAAATGAGAGAGAAAATGAGAAAGTGAATCAGTCGCAAGCCTCGGTTCGGCTAGAGACGCGAATAAAGTCCATGGAGGATTTGGACGGGAGGATGCTTAGATAACCTCACGATTCAGTTGCCGAATATGGTTTAAGCGCAGGCTGAGCTTAACGCAAGAGATACCCACTTTCCCCACCACTAAGTTTATAACTTTGCGGGGACCAATGGTTGCACACATAGCACTCGAGAAGGCCTTGGAGGTGCAACATCTCCCTAGAATGATGTGATCAACAATTCCATGGAAGTATGCAGGTTGAACCGAGGTGAGATGACAGAATTGTTATAAAAAGGTTCTGGGGGCTGCAACTCGAGGTGTCCAAGGTCGCGTCAATCCAGCGGCAACAAAGACGACAAACCAAACACCATGTCAGACGCTGAGACATATCTGGATGAGAAAATAAACTCGAGTGGGGCAGTTTCAGGTCCAGACAGTCTGGAGGATGATTTGGATAGGGATGAGGTCTACTCACCTAGAGAACAGAAAAAGATCCTGCACAAGATCGATCGAAGACTAGTCACTGGCTTAGGGCTTCTCATGTGTGTCAGTTTGGTAGATCGGACCAACCTGGGAAATGCTATGATTGCTGGGTAAGTCCTCATGCACGACCTTCCGGATGAATATCCTGTTGATGAAGTCAAAGCATGGAAAAGGAGCTTCAGCTCTATATTGGTTCTCGCTACGTGAGTGATACACAAGTCTCTGTAACCAATAGAGGTGCTAATTGTTCAGTAGTCCATCACGCTCCTCACTTTCTTCATTCCCTATGTCCTATTTCAATTCCCATTGATTACGGTAATTCGCAAGGTTGGGCCGAAGATCTTCCTTTCTGGAATCACATTTTCCTGGGGCATCGTTATGATGGTATGAGGTCCTGCCCTTGCGTCTTAAGAACTGGTTAACCATGGCTAGGGGTTTGGATTCATACATAACTGGACTGTGCTCGTTGGGCTTCGCATAGTCCTGGGGTTCCTTGAAGCTGGACTCTTCCCTGGCTCTGTGTATCTCCTTTCTATGTGGTATACTCGATGTGAGTGTTTGGCCCTCCTGGTTAATTGTGGGTATTCGCGGCTCATGTTGTGTAGATGACTTACACAAGAGATATTCATCATTCTATTTGATTAGCGTCATCGGGGGAGCTTTCTCCGGAATCCTCTCGTATGGCTTCGTACACATGAATGGCCTAGGGAATTTGAGTGCATGGAGGTGGATCTTTGTTATGGAAGGAATCCTCACCTGTGTTATCGGAGTGGTTGGCTTCTTTTTGATTGTCAACTTCCCTAATGAGAACAATCTCTCCTGGAAGTTTCTTTCCAAGGAGGAAACCGCATTTGTTGTCCGACGACTCAACCGAGACAGACGGGACTCCTCCGAAGCCCCGTTCAATCTAAAGGAATTCCTGAAGCCCGCTCTGGACCCCAAAATATGGGGCTTTGCCCTCATATTCTTGTGAGCCCATAAGCCCTTGTATCACCCTGCGAGACACTGACCTTCAATAGTTCTGCCACAGTTGTGTCCTATGCGATCACCTTCTTCCTTCCCATCATTCTCAGAAGTGAGCTCAAATTCCCCCGGGCAGCATCGCAGGTCCTCACAACACCACCATACTTCTTTGCCGGAATTTTCATGTATGTTCAAGGCTGGATTGGTGACAAGTACCACATTCGCGCTCCATTGATTATCTACAACTGCGCTCAATGCATCGTGGGTTTAGCTATTCTCGGCTGGGTCCAAATTCCTGGCGTGCAGTACTTCGGGATCTTTCTCGTCACTTCCGCATCGAATGCGACAATCCCAGCCGCTCTGACATATCAGGCAAACAATATCCGTGGCCAGTGGAAACGCGCCTTTTGCAGTGCTAGTATAGTCAGCTTTGGTGGTACGGGTGGTGTAGCTGGGTCCTTAGTGTTTCGGTCGCAGGATTCTCCCCGCTATCTACCAGGCATTTATGCCTGTATTGCGTGAGTGGGCTCTCTTATCTGTTTTGTCCATTTACTGACAATTGTCCAAGGTGCAATCTCTTGTCAATACTCGTAGTAGGTGTGCTCAGCCTTTATTTCTATATCTCGAACAGAAGAGCAGCAAGGGGGAAACTTGTTATCGAAGGCCTTCCAGAGTTCAGATATACACTTTGAGATGACATGGGATTTCTTTTTGACTTACAAGGGCTGGTACGCACTTTACAATGAATGGATTATGATATATATGTTTAGCCAGCTCTTCGGAATTGACGGAAACTGTGAACAACACTTCTTTTATAGTTAATACAATGGCATTTTATTGTACTATTGCACCTCAAACCTGTAATAAGAACGCTGGGTAATACACCACTAATCGCACTGGTCGACGTTATAACAGTGTAAGTGGTTAATAGTCTCCAGCAGTTAAATAAGCCAGCTAGATAACGACACAATTAAGATATCAGTTTAACCTGGAGATATTCGCAGTAAAGGTGAATATATCCAATTGTTTACTTGAAAATCTGTTCATGTCACAAGCATTTACTTGCTAACTTTCTATACCAATATCGGATCCCAGTCCAGCCGTATTTCTCTTAGACCACACACGCCAAACTATGTTCTAACATACCCCTCTTGACAAAAAACAATAATCAAAATTAAAAAATAAAGAATAAATAGAATGCAAATCCAATTTACTCAACAACCTGCAGAAAAGAAAAAAGGATCGATTTATTCTTTGTATATGCGCTATAGTTATAGCTCCATTCTAAGTGGGTCACAGCAGCATACGTGATGCTTGCTCATCATCTCGCCATAAGAAAGCAGCACCACCACCCACCCAATCTCCAAATCATATTTCGATAATAGGTGCTCGCTTAATTTATCTTTAGCCCTTAATCTATCTCAAGTACTCTTAAATTTAGCGGTCAGGAATTTATTTGATACATACATCGTAAATCCATATCTATCTTTTTTCTTTCTGTTTTTCTTTGTTTTGAATATACCTATGGCACTGCACCCGCCTCTAAGCCTTCTTTCACTAGCCACACCCTGGCTGTCATTGTTACCCAGATATAATAGATATAATCAACGACTATAGATACCCTTCGAACAGATCATGCACCCATACTTACAGGTTACACCTTTATATCACCAAGAATCCCACTCCCCACTAACTAAGCCTTCACCCTCCAAACCCACCCCGTCTTCCCCACTCTCGCAAGCCCCATAAACACACCCCCAACCCCCAAAAACGTCCCTGCAGTCATTTGAGCATGCAAAAACCCCCCCATCACGGCGTGCCCCAATCAACAGCCCAGACAATGGTGATCCAATTAGACAAGCAACACTCACAATAGTAAATACCATACCCATCCTCGTCCCTGTTCGTGTCGGATCATGTGTAAGGCAGGTAACCACAGCCGGGAACAAGGATTGCACGCCTGCGGCGAAGAAGCCGTATACCACTGTGAAAGCGTAGAGACCATAATATGGCGAGAAACCTCGAATACCGATTTATACTGGATGTGAATGGCCGCGACCGACTCTCTCGCCTAACTGTGTTTCGCAAAATGAGAGCCCTGATAGTCGAGGACTGGATCGACCATAAGCTTGATTTGGTGTTGGCGCCATCAGCACAAAGTACAGCGGTCAAACATGATAAATTTAGTTTGCCGGCTTACACCACGTTAACTAATTCTTTGGATGTGCGTGGCAAGACCTAAGGTACTAAACCGGTACAAACGTTGGCTAATTGTAGGTTCGAGTAGTATCCTTCCTGCGTTATCCCGTTCCTTCGTGCAGAGACAAAGGGTTGTCCGGATGATTTTGAAATACAGCCTGGACAGACTGTTCCGGAGTGTAAGTCGATTTCGTGTCTCAAAATTAGTGAGAAATACTTACTCATGTTATGATTAGACGAGCCAGATGATATCGAGGGTGCTCCAACCTCGGTCCAGGTTTTCACTAGGACTATGCGAGAGGAACAATGCCTTCACTTCTCTCGGGTTGTTGACGAATGTTTGAGAGGGAGCCCTTGAGCTAGGGGGAGTAGCTTAGTGAGATTATCTTCAGTTGAATTATTACATATTTTGTCTTACCATTGATGGAACCGTCCCCTCAAAATGCCAGATATGGTAAAGCTGAGCCCATGGACTAAGAGCAAGGGAATGAAATGAAAAGAAAGTGTGGCATATAAGAATGTATGATCACTCTGAAGGCCTGTGAAGCATGTTGACACACCAGGCCCTACAGCTCCAAGAGCTGGATTAGCCTCTTGGCATCTTCCAGGATAATAAGACAAGTTGGCTTCCGATCAGTCAAGTAACACACCGAGCGGTAGGTAGGAGGACAATCAGGTGCCGGAGGACTCTGGTGCCAGGCCTTCTGCCGCTCCTCCAAACTGTCCACAAGTGTCATAAAGCACTTCTCCTTGTAATCACCAACTCCGAATATCTCCGCTCTCACAGCATTTCGCATTAGGCTTCTCCACTCCGACGGGCTTACTTCGACGGAAAGAGAGGCAGAGGTATGACCCGGGTCAGTGTGGCCTATGTATGTTGCATGATCATGCGCGGTAGAAATTCTTAATCGCTTCTTTTCCTGGGCATCTACAGCCCGTCTCTCATCCGCATCGATCTCCTCCATGATCTTGCTGTAGCATTCCGCAATGCACACGCAGAGTATACCAAGCACGAGGGCATTTTGCATGACACACAAATAACGAAGGGGGCACTGTCTGCAATTGAGGACCCCGGTCGCGGCGCTTATTGAGTCTCGTAGAAGTGTTAGGTCGTCTGGCACCACAAAGCGTTCCCTTACTCGAAGTTGCGCCAGGAGAAGGTAAAGCACTGACAGGCAGGCACAGGGGTCGGTGCCTTGGCTCGCTTACTATGGACGGTAAGCTGGTGGCGTATGCCTCCGGATGCTGCAGACTGTTACGAGCACTAGAGATTATTCGTGAGACTTGAATACTATTTAAGTAAAACGCGAATGACTGGCGGAGTTACCGTTGATTACTGTCAATATTCACGAGATACGGAGACACTGCGGCAGCCCTGTCAATCTGGCCCACCAGACTTGGTGCCGCAAAGCGGTTTTGCTCAGGAGAATTTACCTCTCCTGCTGCAAATGACTCGACAGGAGCACTGTCGCCATCAGAAGCTAGAGACAACCCACTGTGGGGACGTGCCGTAGACAACCGAGCCGACTTGGCAGTAGTCCGTCGTCTGGGTCGACCCATCGGCATCCGCATGGAGTAGACACATTCTCTATTACTAGACAGGCATCTTGAACAAGCAGGATGTTCTCCTGAGCATCGGACCTTTTTCGCTCCTAGAAGAGTGAGCAATCTAAATCGCGTGAGAACGTAGGTTAGTAGGAAAGATTCCGTACTGCAAAACTCGCAAGAAACACGGGATGTTCCGTTGGACTGTATTGGAGGGGCGTGGCCATTCATCGCGCGCACTCTATTGATGGATAGATTGTTGGGTGGAGGATGAAATGTCTCCGAAGCATGCGAGGAGAGGAGATGCGGAAGGTTTTAAATGTGGGTGGCGCGAGAAAAGTCTCCGTCTTGAATTCGGTAAGGGTAGAGCGGGCCGGAACCAGACATCAAGACATCATCAATCAGCAATGAATCTGAAAATGTGTTCATCTTAGGGCCGGACGCATACTTGGAAAATCACTATTATGATTACCCCAGTATGCGGCATGGTGCAACGGGGTAAGACCATTGACATCTGTCGAATTGATAATATCCAGTGATCCGGAATCAACGATGAGCCTCGCAATGGTTCCTGCTCGTTCCAAGGCAGACCAATGTAAGGGCATTAGACCGCCATTATCCTGGAGGTTTGTCTCAGCACTGCTGGTGAGCAGGTATTGTACCATCTGGACATTTTCTTGTATTACAGCGATATGTAATACGGACTGGCCGTCTCGATCGGGGATTGAAAGGCTGGCACCACTCTCAATGAGCTTTTTAGTCAGTTCTGTATTACCGGAATCAACGGCTATATGCAAAGGTGTTCTGCCATCGTTGTCCTGTTCGTTGATCTCAATACCGCTGCGGATGAGCAACTCGGTCGTGGTGGTTTGGCCTTTTTGGACAGTGAGATGCAGAGGATTCTCAGCGTGGGAGTTTGAAGCTGAAATCCGATTCAGATCTCTTAGAACTACTTCAAGACATGATGTGTAACCTTCCAAAGCAAGAAAATGAATCATGGTTTTTCTCTCCTCGTCTCTTATATGGATATCTTTTTGGGTACAGAGAGAAGTAGCTAAATCAAAGATGGAAAGGAAATATGCCTTGCTGTGAGGATCGAGAAGTGTAAGAATCAGAGATAGAATCTCAGATGGTAATTGTAGAATATAGGACACCATGGTTATCGACGTAAGATTTCTTATTGCACCTGACATTCACTAGCCTCGCCTGTAAATCGCTGCGTGTGTCATCTCTATTGGAAAAAAAAAAAAAAAAAAAAAAAGCCCAATAGACCTTTATCATGCCACACAGTGTTGCTTAGCCATGTAATCAGAAGAGCATGTCACAATCTTGCGCCAGGACTATCTCGATCTTAATCGGACACTTTCACGAATGTTTCCGGACCCACATTGAGTTTGATCTTCGGTCCAGTCGATCTAGGTGGGAACATATCCAATTCCTACTCCTCTATATGCGCATGCGCAAGCATGTTAGTACATTTGTGGTGATCTCAATATCAGGGTCTAGAAGGTATTTGCCTATTCATTGTCATATTAGATTCTAAGTGTTGATCGTTGGACCTTAATATGTTTCCGGAGGACCAATCGGACACTTTTGCCTACTTATCCATCCTCCCGCAATATACAACGCCAGGTTTAATGTCAATGAGCATATTATTACTAACAATGAATCACAGTGGGCTAGAACACAGTGGAGCTATGTTAGTTTACTAATTCGCGATGTATATGAACTTGACTATTGTCTAATAAAGTGTTCTGTAACACATCTCACCAATTTCATATGTCAAAACCATACAAAAGAAACATTACATCCAGCACATCATTTACCACTCCCAACTTTAGATTCAAAAACTAAGCAATGACCCACTCAACAGATTACGACGCCCTAGTGATCGGCGCAGGCCCTGCGGGCTTAGCAGCAGCCACAGCCCTAGGAAGAGCATGCAGACAAGTGGCCGTCTTCGACTCCCAAGAATACCGCAACGAAAGAGTGGAAGAAATGCACAACGTTGTTCTCCACGACGGCCAGAAGCCAGAATTATACCGTGCGGCCGCAATCAAAGCCATATCAAGCAAGTACTCGACGGTCACATTCATCGACACTGTGATCAAGACAGCGACAGTAACGGCAACAGCCGTCAGCGATATGCACAAATTCCAAGTTACAAGTACCAATGATGGTCACTTTCGTGGTAAAAAGCTGATCCTTGCTACTGGGAGCAAGGATTATTTTCCCGACATACCTGGCTACGCTGAGCTGTGGGGGAAGGGCATGTAAGTCACATTTCTCCAATCATTAGCACGTTTAATCTCTAGGCTGACGGTCACTAGCGTTCATTGCCTATTCTGTGACGGGTTTGAGAAGAAGGATACCCCTGCTGGTGCTCTGGGATTGGAGTCGCTGCAGGATTTGGCTTCTGTTCTAATGGCGCACCACATGTCGAATGGCCCTTTGACAATATTTTTGAATGGTGAGTCGGTGACAAGGGATGAGGACCAAAAGGCTCTGCGCGTGGCAAAGGCTCGAGGCTGTAAAATTGATCAGCGTGAGATTCGACGTTTTTCTCGGGACTCTGCGAGTGGCTATATTCTCATTGAGTTTACGGATGGCTCGCAGTGTCAAATCGGGATTTTGTTACATCATCCCGAGACGGTCAATCGTGCTTCTTCTCTTATATCTGGGTTGAACTTGGAGCTTGTGCAAGATGGTGGACATATTCAGGTTAAGAATGCGGTGGGAGAGACCAGTGCGAGAGGGTGTTTCGCGGCCGGCGATACAGCGACTGCGTCAAAGATTGTTTCAGTTGCTCTGGTGGGAGGTAAGTTTTTATATTAATATCCATTATGGCTAGAGGTAACTTACTGTCATTAGGAACGATGGCTGGCATTGGGGCGGCAAGACAGCTGGCGATGGATGAAGGGCTCTGTGCAGCATACCAAGCAGAGGGAGCAAGTGCAACACTATAGGGCTCTCGAGAAAGTACAGGGACTGCGACACAATGATATCTGGTATTTTCAAGATAAATCTCTACATATCCCACTCATACTAAGATATACTGCCAACAATCATTAAATAGTCTCTCTGAGTCATGCATTTGCCAATGATTCCTTTCCCTTCTCACGATAATAAGCAGCAACCTTTGGCAAGATCGCTTTGCGACGCATAATACTCTGCTCCAGCCAAACCTCCTCGATACAATACAACTCCTCTTTTTTCAACACGCCATCCGGCAGCGAAATCCACGGCAACTTCGATCGAACAAACAGATGAATATCTGGAGTGACCACTCGAGGCTGATCCAATGTCCCAACACGGATGAAGCTTAGAAAAGGCCCATGATCTGGGTAAAAACTTCGAATCGCAACGTAACACTTGGCGCAGCGAAGGATCTGTTGGCCGGGATCGCGGTCGGATGGGGCAGTGATAACTTGTTGTTCTGCCCCAGCGAGAACTTTTACGTACTCTGACTCAATTAACATATTGAGGGCAAATGCTGAGCCGGTTTCACGCTGACAGTCTTTTTACCGAAAATTAGTACTCTAACTGGCGAGTATTAAGACAGTGAGGATAGTTTCGCACCTGTGCAATGACAACAGTGGACAATAAGTGGCGGAGCTTCCACCTGGTATCTTATTGATCCGCAGGCGCATCCGCCTTGGAGGGGGAGCGATGATCCATTTAGAGGCATTTTGTGGTTTGTGAAGTAGCTTTGAAATTATGCAGTGAGTGCCTAGTTCCTTATCTAAAATAAATAGAGAGAATTAGGGGAGAGAGTTTGGTTGGTCAATGTGGGGAGACTCGGTCAATATATACTACATGGAAGAGTGAGTCAGAAAGACAACAATTCAATACGAACACAAGATAATAAAGTTATTGGAAACCACCAAACCTTCAGAATAAAAGAGGAAAGGCTCCGGTATATCTGTAGTTATCAGATTACCCATGATGTCCCCAGTAGACTCCATACAACACCCAAACAGCCACCCCCTGGGGAAGTTTAACCCTAATCAAACGCCTTGATAGTACGATCAAACTCTCGATCCAACTGACGATTCCGATCCACAATAGTCTCCCTATCCTCCGGCTTCAACTTCTCTTCTATAGACGTAGCAAGGCCATGACACCTCTCCTTAAAATCCCTAATATGCTCTTGAATCCGATCTGCAATCTTCGCTTTCTCAAACTCATGTCTCTATTGATATGTACCATATAGTCACGTTATCAGCCCCAACATTACCAATCCCCAATAGTCCAGTAACCCAGTACGATGAATATGGAAGGAAAAAAATAAATACCTTCACAACAATATCGTGCAAATACTCCACCCAAAAAGGCTGCATTTTCACAGCCACGTTGGCCACGATGGAACTTTCCTGTTTCTTGAATGGTGGTGAGGCATGTACAGCGTTCATAGATTTGATTATGGATATTTCGACGTTGGTATGTTTTTGTTCGAGGCCTAGTTTATCTTCCTTTTTGGGTTCGTAGAGCTTGACGGCTTTGTCGAGGAGGATGAGGTTTTCCCCAATTAGGGCGAATTCTTTGAGAATACCCGGGACATTGCGCGTTTCGAGGTGGTGGGCGGTGGTGGTGGTGGTGAGTTGGAGAGAGAGGGTTGTGAAGAGGGTTAGGAGGGTGGAGAGTTTCATCGTGGTTTGTTTAGGGTATACTCTTTTGAAGCTGGGTGGGTGAGGTGTGTGTGGAGTAGGATTAAGTCGTGAAGAGTAACTTATACGGAACGGATGCGAACATCGTCATTGCTTTATATTTCTTGAGTCTATATGCATGAAATTAAGGAGACGGTCCAGTTCAACAACAGGATTGTTACACAATGCATGGCTCATGGAGTTTTCGCTCGGCCAGGAATTTCACCGATCATAGAGAGGAGCAGACCTAGCAAGTCCTTGCTGTGTGCTTTTAAAATAAGTGAGTGATTAGCCCTTATACATAGCGAGACATCATGACCGTTGTCTGTACAAGAAACCATAATATCCTCATTTTTCGTTCTCTTTGGATATGCCTATGGCCATGTTATAGTGGTTGATGCAAAGGCTTCTACACAACCATAATTACAATGTTACCTACGTAGAGCAGCAACCAGGGTAATTCTTTACCCACGTGTCGGCTTTGAATTTAACTCCGGACCGGGGCCATCTCACACAATACCGTATTAATTCTCTCTGATCTGATTAATATGTAGGAGAGCCATAGTATGAGCCAACCTAACGCCATCCGTAATTAAATTAATTAAATTCGATGCAGTTGAACCATCCTTTCATGCATGTCGGTAATACCCAGCTCAAGTCCTCCTCAACACCAATGCAATATATCCAAACAGTCGGTAAACTGCGATGATGCCTATCAGGATACCTACCCACTTCCCTGTCCGACCCGTCGCATATCCATACTCCTTCAGCACCCCGGTCCCTCGGATCATACACTGGTCCGCCAGATCTGTCTGATACATACACTGACACCCCGAGCCACACGAGTACGTCCTCTGACTAAACTCGTTCACCATCATCCCCTGAAAGACGTACGCCTGCACCCAAAGTCAGTAAGACACGTTCAACAATGCAATGGGAAGACACAAGTAGCATACCTGATAATCAATATAATGGAAAACGTATTTCCAGAATGGATTCAAGATGGTCGGCGAGACGAGGAACCCGCCCACGCTCATCCAGAGTCCATTGGCAAACGCGACGAGCGCCAGACTGATCACGAAATTGGGGAATATGGCTGTTACGAAAACAACAAGGGATTCGGCAGCAACAAGGTCCAGGAAAAGCCACATCACCCAGGTGAAAAATGCGGCGCCTGTGGGCCGGAAGTTGGAGAGCCAGTAGCTGACTATCGAAAAGAGCATTGAGATTATGACTTTTTCAAGCATTGTTAGCTTAGTCCAAATACTAATTCAACAGTGAGGGGGGATGACGTACATAGGTACGGGAGGCCGATGATGAAGTTGGAGATGACGAAGGGCAGGGCGCCGTAGAGTCCGTTCGCTCGTTCTTTGGTAAAGGTTGCCCGGTCCTCGAGGAAGGACGGGACGTAGGCGACGGCCATAAAACTCATGAAGGCTGAGCCGAAGAACTGATTCTCGTTAGGCTTTAGGTCCGCAGAGAGAAAGGTAGGGAGTTTACAATTGCGTTGATGAAGGGTTGGATGTACTCCTGCGAGGTGTGGAGACGAAGCCATACCGTCCCCATCATGATTGCCAATCCTAGAGGTCGTATTAGCTCTGTACAATCGGGGAAGACTTGGGGAGGTTTGTACCCAAATACATGACAATCCGAATACCGTAGGCTACAACGTCGCGATAACTCTTGATAAAGAGCCGATGCAGAAGAGACATGGTGATTTGGGGAATACCTGGGCGGCTCAGTTCGTCGATGTTCATTGCCTTGCCGCCCTTCTCCTCAGCGCTCTGTGGTTGCTTGCTTAATGCGGCATACTCAGCGGACTGCGTCCATGCTTCTTGGATCTTCTCAACTTGGTCCTCGTGGACCGCGAAGTCAGAGCTAACCGCATCCAAAAGGTACTCGGCAGGATTTGTATTCGAGGGAACGGGATAGCCGATGTTTTCAAAGTAGCTTGGGACATTCGAAACGGGTCCAAAGTAGCATGTCTTGCCGCCCGAGAGAAGGAGAAGGTTGTCAAATAGCTGGAAAGTTGTTGTCGATGGCTGGTGGATACTCGCGATTATGATAAGCTTTGGTTTGATTATGTTAGCCGTCCGATTGGTTCTGTAACATGCTCGCAAGCCTCTTCCTGGAGAGACATACATTGTTCGCTACTGCAAGCTTTTTGACGTATGAGATGATCTCGTAACTAGCAGTCGAGTCCAACCCGCTGGTTGGCTCGTCGAGGAACAGGATTTTGGGACAAGTGATCAGCTGACTGGCGACGCTGACCCGTCGCTTTTGGCCCCCGCTAATTCCCTTACGGATGGGAGTGCCCACCAGTGTCGACGCCTGCTTCTGGATTCCGAATGCGCTCAGGAGGGTCTGGATGCGATCTGCCCTTTGGGATCTCGTCACCGATCTAACTTCTATCAGCCCACGGGTACTATGGCCAAGTGATATATTGTCAACGGGGTCCATACCCTGGCAGAGACAGATCTGCGGCAAACTTCAGTGTCTCCTGCACCGTCAGTGATCCGATCAACGCATCCTCCTGTTCGACGTAAGACGTGATACGGTTGAAGGTATCATTGTCCAGCTTCGCCCCGTTTACGTAGCATTCCCCTGTGTTTTTCGCTCCAGCGGAAGCGGTGCGACGCGCAAGAACGTTTAAGAGTGTTGTCTTTCCGCAGCCGGAGGGTCCCATCAATGCGATTAGTTGGCCTGTCTTTTAGTTAGCACTTTATTTGTTGTCAGGCAGTCTTTTGCAGTGCTGTACCATGACGGGCAGTTCCACTGCAGCCCTCGATTAGATTCCGGGGCTTCTTCGTGCGTCTGTCTTTCACCGTGACGGTCAGGTTATCCCATGTGAAGGATTGAACCGTGTTATTCATCAAAAACTGATGGTCATTTCGTTCCAGATCAAAGGTATCGGACGCCTTAGCTGGGTCGGTCTCCATGGTGAACAATGGCCGTGATTAAAATATCGAGTTTTACCACAGGGAGAAAGCGCATGAACTGATTGTGGCCAAGGCCGGGTAGATTTATAAGAAATAGAATTACTTGAATGTTGGCAAACCGCGATGGGATCCCTGTCGGTGTCCAACGAGAGGCGAGTCAGGCGCAGTCGTTTATCTAATATGGCGGGGAACGGCAAAAGAGAAAAGTCGCCGACTCGTGGACGGACTATTTTCTGGATCGTCAGCGTTGCATTTGCAGTAGTGATTTTGCTAGTAGTACTAGTAGTACGAAGTACTGTGGAGCACTAGTAGCCTCAGGCTGCCGATCGGCGGGCCCGAAAAACAAGGGTGATCCCCGAGGTTAGAAAAAAAAGTGGATGAACGCCGTTCTTCACTTCTTCTCTTCCGATCTCAGTCCCATGGTTCCCAGAGTAGATTCCCGAAAGTAAAATTACATATCTTGGGAAAGGTCCCCGATTCGTGCGAGAAAACCAACCCCTTCTCTATGGGCACTGGATTGTAGCAAAAAATACCAACTAGGGGTTACATTGCTCATTCCATAAGCTATCATTTCGCCCGAAATAAAACGTGAAAAAGCAATGTCGGGCTCATTATGTGGTGCACGGACCCTGTTCGTTCAGCTCCCCGTATCCCTGTCCTTTTTGTCCCAGATGGGTTTAGTTTGAGCAACGGCCCCGTTTGTCACAAACCGTCACGTTCCCCGGGCTGATTCACACCGAAGGCGTGGCTGAACCGTTCAGCTCCCACAATCCCTTCACAATTCTCTTTGATTTAATATTATTTCTTGAAGAAATCCACCCCAACCAGGAAGTCCGAAAAACGAAAAAAAAAAAAAAAAAATTCTATCCCACACAAAGCAAAACAAGCCCACCGAAACAAGTGAAAATGCCAAATGTCTCCAATGATGATCGTGTGGTAGCACCGAATGAGGGGCTTAATCCCTGCTACCTACTAATGGGTTCAGTCACACAGACGCCTCCATCCCATGAAGCTGGCCACTCACATGATATTTCGTTGGTCATATCTGACAGTTCCTCCTCCACATTTGGACTTGTACAATATCCTACCGGACTTCTCCTAGCTCACTACTACTCTCTACACACACCCGAAACCCCCCCTAGTTCCAAACATGGGGTTATATACTACGCCAATAACCTACAGTTACCAGGCTCGCTCTAGTCTACCACAGAGCGCACAAAAGTCTTGAGCTTCTACCCGTCGCAAAGACATACGGCTACACAAACTGTGTCTTGTGTTAAGCTAAACCCCGCCACGCGGCACACTGTATCATTTAGTTGGCAGCATTATTAGATAAGAGTGGACGTCAAGATAATCTCAGAGGTGGGGTAGATCTAGCAGACGATCGGGGGAAACAACCTTAGATTGCATGATGCACCAGGTTTTAGCAAAGACAGCATCTGGTCGACTAGGGTTGGCGGAACAACAACTTCCCGATCCACCGGCTCCATATCAAGCAGGGATGGTGTCCATTGGGGGTGTCAGAAGGAGGGACTTGGGTCAGGGACATGGTGTGAAAAAGGTCTAGAAGGAAGCTAATCGGGCATAGTGGTGGTTATCGTCTTTTGACTTTTCACTTGTGTCCTGGGGCGTTAGGTTCCGTAGATAAATCTGCGTTATGTTTCGGTGTTTTCATATTTATTTAATCCGTTTGCAGAGATCTAGATCATAAAAGTCTAATTACAGTCAGTCTACCGCCGCAGGATGATGCCATCGGTATAGTGGCAGTAGATGGGCACGCTGAATGGGTATGGATTCTACTACTATGTATTTTGATAGAAAGCCTACAACAGATCGTCTCTTTGTTCTGGCCTTGAGTTGGGGTAAGCATTGATCGTTTAAAAAAGGTAATTGAACTAAGCATGTTTTTCGGTCCCCCTAAGAGGATAAATGTTCTATGCACATGTCGCATCCACATTTTTTCAAACAGTCTTTGGCCTTGGAGCAAAATAGTACTATAGTATGCATGGGTTCCCTGAACTATCAAATTCAGCCTCGAATATAGGAATGTGTGTAGTCTTTAGTTCCATAGCTGCGTAGCTTATAAATATTTGAACTTTTATATCTCTTGAGCTTCCTACTATGGACTATATACTATCTCCCACGGAGTATATCTTACCAAACAGGCAACGCCGTAGTATACTATGTCCCTGTCTACTTAAATTTCTACGCAGTTAGGAGTAGTATTACTCCTCCAGAGGTACCCCCACCCCGACTTCCTGAAACCTTCTCCATATAACCACAGCACAGTAAAAAGTGGCAAAAATACCAACGACAGAAATGCAAGGAGGGAGTTCCCCCAGCCTAAGCCGAGCGAGTGATTCAACGACGGGCCAGCGAGTGGAAAGAAGGCCCCGAAGAGCGCACACAGGGTGGCATTAGCAGATAGTGCAGAAGCAGAGACGCCCTGCTCATCGAACGCGTCGACGAGGTAGTTTTCCGTGGGCAGCTTGGTGAGAAGCATACTAAACCCGATGATGCCGGTACCAATGAGGGGCACGATCCAGTGGACGTGTTTGTTGGCCGACCAGCCATACAATAATAAGCCCACGGGGAGCATAGTGGTGCCGAAAACCATTAGCGGGAGGCGATGTTCTGGCTTCGACTCTCCTTCTACCGCGCGGCGTCGTCTAACGTACCGGTCAGAAACCAGGCCATAGACGCATAGTCCGATTATGTTGCCGATTGCTGGACCGGGGATGATTAGTGAGGGTTATTGTGGTGGGTCGGTGGGAAAGGATGGATATACCTCGACCGAGAAAGGTGATGCCCACTGGACCATCACCGAAGCCGTACGTTCTCTGCATGACCTCCGCCAGAGTTGTCAGGATCAGGTAGGAGATACCGTACGTCAGCGCCGTGTAGAGGGACATGACTAGCACCACTGGAGAAGAGAAGAGTAGCCGCATCGGACGGACGATAGACTTGAGGATTGTGTCTCGAGGTGCGGAAGAGTGGTTGCGAGATGATGTGTGTTTGTGATTCCCGTCGCTGCGATCCTGTGACTTTTCTGTCGATTTTCGCGACTGTTGCTGGATTTTGAACCGGTAGGTTTCTTTGAAGATAGCTAGGGACAATAGCGATATGCTACCGACAGCTATCACCATAATCCAGATGGTCCATCGCCAGCCAAGGGTGCTGTTGATGAACCCGCCAACAATCGGGGCCACGCAGGGCCCGATTAACGGAAGAGCAATGGCCACCGCCATTGCGGTCCCTCGTTCCTCCTGGACGAATAGGTCTCCGATAATGCTCGGAGCGAGGGTGAGGGAGGTGACTGCCATACCGGTCATGAAGCGGAAGGCCACCAGCATGGAGATATTTTGGCTCAGCGCGGCTGCGATGGAGCAGAGAATAAAGAGAAGGTTCCCGCCATGGTAGACGATGTTGCGCCCGTACTGCTCTGACAACGGTCCGACTACAAATGACCCCACACCTTCGCCCAACTCCCAGATGGAGACAATCAAGGGCTGATAGATATTACCTGAGACATGGAAGTGTGAGAGGATGGTTGGTACAGCTGGGACGATGATGATAGTTCCGAAGTTACTGCACTAAGGGTGAATAACGGATACGGATCAGCGGCGAGCTTTAGTAGGATTTACTCACGCCAACATATACATCAAGGCAACGCAGATCACTATTGACCACTTTCGCCAACGGGGCCAGGTTGTGGGATCCCCGGGCTTCTCCAGGCACTGGGAACGGCCATGATTGTTCTCTTGCTCGGGCCGGTGAGCAGCGTCGCATGTTGTTATTTCCAAGTCATCGCCCTTCATGATTCGGGTGGTACTTTGGCTTCAGACGTGTTCAATTCTGGTCAGCGACATAAGGACAGCTCTACTTTGCACACCGACGTGTGGTTGTCTTTTAGGAATTCAATTGACCGAGAGGTGCATTTTGCGAGTAGGCAACTAGGTGGGCTTATCACAACCAAAGCCCGAACCTTGCACTGAGCAGGGTAGATGATACGATACTTAGCGATAAAGGTGTGATAATAAAATTAAAAGAAACAAAGAAGACGATGCAAGGATTCTTATCAATTCCACCTAACACCTTCTGGAACCCGTCCAGTAATTGCAGCAGCATCCTTGTCTAGTGGGCGTAATCGTGGGCTTCAAGCCGAGCCGGGGCGCTTCGCCACCACCACTACCCGAGGGATGGACAACGCAGCCCCGTCCACACATTCCTGGTACCCAGCCTGAATAAGCTTGAAAAAGCTTGCAGCGGCCTCGGCCTTGCCATTTTGCATCAGCTTTGACGCAAACTCCTCCATGGTCATCAAATGTTGGTCGTTAAAGGCCCTAACCAATTCCGGTCCCTCATCGTAGTAGTCTAGTTTCGCATCCTGGAATCCTGCCTGGTTGAGCAGGCGCGGCAAGTCCAACACCCAATCATGTCGCCCATTGGCGTAGGAGGCAACGCGGATTTCCTCAAGCGCAGGCGCCTGCACAGACGGGTTCACTTTCTTGATATTCATGTTCACACAGTCCAGCTCATCCCACTGAATGTAGCCGCCGGGTTTCACTAACTGGAATAGTCGCCGGATCACAGGTATTGGGTCTACGCCCGAGAGCACCAAAACGAGCAGCCGCACGTGCACGAGATCATACTGGCACTCAAGACTCGTGGGTACGTCCGCAAAGACATCCCAATGTCGCAGACTAATGTTGGAGGGTAGCCACCCAGGATGAGGAGCTTGGGAGAGGTCGATGTCTAGCCCGTCCAGCCGGCTGTTGGGGAAGTCGCAGGATACGTCAATCAACCACAAAGCTGTGCCTGTAGCAATGTCGGCAATGGTGGGATGAGAATAGGGGTCAGTAGAATTGTCTGAAGGGGGAAAGTGGACCGAGGGGTGGATGTGGAAGCCAAAGACTTCACGCCAGAGAAAGTGTTGTAAGTTTAGTCGGATGACGGAGCGGTGGGTCTGTTGCAGGGCGTATCCAAGGCCATCGGCAAGGCAAAAGCTGGCCTGAGAGAGGGGTGATGAGCCTGAGCCATGCATGCTGGGGAGAATTGACAGTGATATGGAGCGCTCTCGAGTTAGGTGTGATGGTAGTGATCCAGACAAATAGTAACAATGGATCATGAGCCGACTATATAGGCGTCAGATTGGAAGGCAATCCCACTTCCTCGCCCTAAGGGCAGTTAGGTTGTGTGGTAGTCAGACTAGAAAAGACCCTTAATGTAGCCACAACAAAGAAAGTGAAACAATACACACCAGCAGCTGACTGGCTGGAGGGTAGTGTTGGAAGACCCTCCATAAGCCCTAAGCTGCGTTCCCAAGGCTTAGCTGTGCTTGGCAAGGGTACCGGCGTTTGATGATGGTCACCATCAAAGCGCACGATACTGCTGTCAAAATGAAAATCAAATTGCCTGGGGCAGGTGAGATCATTATAGCTAGGGCATAGCCTCCTCACACATTATAATCCCCTAAAGCAAAAGGGAATGATCGTGTTACGAACAGAAGGAGTACGCGATGTTGACTATACAAGGATCATGTTGCGAATCCGGTCCGCCTTCCCCGTTTAGGTGATGTGCGTGGTGGTCACTTGTCTTGTCTTGTATGTCGCATGAAAGAAAGTACTATAATAATGCCAATTATCTTAAATTCCCCTGTACAAATGGAACAAAAAGAAAACACCCCTCAACTCCGTCAGAATGGCCTCCCTAAAAGAACGAACTCCACCCCAACCACCCCCAACCTTCACAACGACTCCAATTAGGATCATCCAAGGAACCAAATATCTAATCGAGCATGCCCGTTGAGCCCTAAAACAGATTGAAAGGGACGTACAGCCCAACACTGCAACATTCAGCAACGTCATTCTACCCCTTTCTCACATCGACAACAATCCGTCTTCCAAGTCCCATATCTTTGTTTTTTATAGAGCCGTATCGACTAACCCTGAACTGCTAAATGCCTCCACCGAGGCCCGGAATCTGCTGGATAGCTACAATGTCGAGACGAGGATGGATGGCGGGTTATTTGCACTGGTTTACGCTGTCTTTCACAAGAGCGAAGACCTGGATGTAGAGTCCCATCGCCTGTTGAAGAAGATGTATACGGGTTTTGTTCGGCATGGGTTGAGATTATCGTCTGGTTGCCAGAGGTATCGGTTTCGGGAGATTCAGTCGCGGCTGAGTTGGATTAAGGCTGAGTTTCAGAGAAATCTGGTCGAGGCGAATAGTACTGGTATCTGGTTTACGGTTGAGCAGTTAGATGGGTTACCGGATAAATTTCTATCAATGTTAATGAGAGGGGAAGCAGAAGGGGACAATGAGGACAAGATCCGAGTGACGTTTAGTGATTCAGACCTCTTTCAAACACTGAGATATGCGAGGGACAGTGAGACACGGAGGCGCATTTATATTGCTAACGAGAACAAGTGTGGACAATGTGTCCTTGTTCAGGGAGGCTGTACTGCTCCGTGATGAAGCAGCTCGCCTTCTTTGGTATCCCAGTCATGCTGCTTTGCGGATTGAAGATAAGATGGCTAAGTTTCCAGAGACTGTGAATTCTTTTCTCGGTGATTTGCAATCTCAATTAGGAGAGAATGGTGGGAGAGAAGTCGAGAAGCTAAAGCAACTCAAGAAGGCCGATCTTGAGTCTCGGGGAGAAACATTCGATGGCCGGTATTTCTTGTGGGATCATCAGTACTATCATCGAATGATGTTGGAGAAGCAGTACTCGGTACACCAACAGAAGATAGTGGAGTATTTCCCTCTGCTGGGTACTATTATGGGCATGCTGGAGATCTGCGAGACCTTATTTGGTCTTTCTTTCAGCAAATTTAGCACAGACCAGAGGACAAAGCTAGCTAATCCTGGGGATGCACTTGTCTGGCATGGAGATGTGCAGGTTTTCAGTGTCTGGAACAGCGACGAGGGCGATGGCTTCGTCGGCTATCTTTATCTGGATCTTTTCCTTCGGGAAGGTAAATATGCGAATGCAGCCAATTTCAACCTGATACCAGTCTGTTACAATCCTTACATCCTCACATTGATCAAGACTGACTTTCAGTAGGGCCTCACCCAAGAAAACGGCACACGCCTATATCCTGTCACAGCGGTGGTGTGCAACTTCTCCAAGCCTGGTTCGAAAACTCCCTGTCTTTTAAAACATGACGAAGTTGTTACCTTTATTCCACGAACTGGGCCATGGAATCCATGATCTTGTGTCAAAGACCACTTCCTCACATTTCCACGGTACAGCGACAGAAGTGGACTTTGGCGAAACCCCCAGCCAGATGTTGGAGAACTGGTGCTGGACACCATCAGTACTACAGTCATTAAGTAGACGCTACTCATATCTTTCCTTAGAGTATTATGACTACTGGAAAGAACGAGCAGATGGGGAACCTCAGCCTCATGAGCAAATACCTGACGCGATGATCTCGCGTCTTCTCCGCACCAAACACGTAAACATTGCACTGTTCCATCTGTGTCAGTTGCATTTTGCTATGTTTGATATGGTAGTCCATGATCCTGGTAATCACCACGCGATCGAGGAATTAGACATCTCGGCGAAATACACTAACCTCCTGGCTGAGATTCTACCGATGGACGGCCCAGAAGATGACGACTGGGGCCATGGTCAAACACGCTTTCAGCACTTGTTGGGCGAGTATGACGCAGGGTACTACAGTTATTTATTGTGAGATGCATTCTTTTAACCCGAACATTGACCTGATTACTAATATCTACAATGTAGCTCGAAGGTCTATTCCACAGATATGTTCTATACCGTGTTCAAAGCAGGCCCTACGAGCTATCTAGAGGGCTGGAGATACCGATATACTGTGTTTGAGAAGGGAGGAGCCTGGATGGGATGAAGGTTTTGACTGATTTCTTGGGGCGCGGACCTCAGACAGATGCGTTTTACAAGGAGCTTTGTCAAGCGTGACACTTTATAGGGATGTTCTAGTGAAGATGAAGGTCTCATTAAGATCAACAATGTGGTTTTGTACGGCTTTTTAACTATTGACTCAAACTACGCACCGCTAACCGGAGATGAATACCTAACTCATACATAACTCAACTTGAAAGGTTACAATAAGCATCAACGGACGCCGTGCTATAAGTAGTACCAGCCCGGCTGTTATGGGAAAGCGGCGCTTATTGCTCGAGCTTTACCGGAGCAAGTTCGCAGTTATAAACGAAGCCAGATGATGGTGGTGAGGAACTAGGCTACAGGAAGGGCGACTAGATATGCGATCAAACATAACATAGGATAAGTAGTTGAGTACCTCTTATAGTCAGGATATCGAGAAAAAACAACAAAGGTCATCAATAAGACAAGTCATGGTTGGAAGCGTACATCAACATCAACATCCGCTAAGAACTACAACACGACATAATAACATATGACATTAAGCTCACGCACAAGATACGGGATCGAAACAACGACAATGGGGTATACCTCTCTCTGCCACAACTCATTTCTTCCAACTGACAACAGAAACCAAACAGACGAAGAAACAAGAGGCTTCCAGAAAAAGATGTTACAAACGCTTGGGGCATGAAAAAAATCAAACAGCATCAGCATCAGCATCACAACATAGTAGCGTAACATAAAAAACATCAATCATGCAGGTCATCAGAATCATACAATCATGTCGCCATGATGGACGTGATCGGTCAGAGCCTCAAACCCGCCCTTCTCTTTATAATTTATACCCGAACAAGTCAAACCAAAACAAGAAAAACCGAACCCAGAATGCCCCCCATAACCTGAATCTTTTCAGTAACAAATCATCGAACTTTTCCGCGCGTTATCGCATCTTGTCTTTTTTATGTTTTTCCTTTTCTTTGGTCCAAGTAAAGGCGGCCAACCCAGAAACGAGAAATGAGAAACTTTTGGCAAACGACGTCTTTATCCAGAGCTTTCAAGTCGGACCTCGGTAAATATAAGATCAAAGTTCGCAAGCAAGCACGGAAGTGAAACATAGTACCCAGGAAGAGGCAAGCTAGTATCGACCGCTGTAAGTCGACCGGCTCGACCGTCGACTCGCGCGATCGGACCGTCGGTCGGGACGAGCCCGCCGTGGGTCTTCTAGCTGTCTCTGGGCCACGCTTGGCGTGTAGTCAGAACCATTCGTCAGGTACTTCTTTGGTCGTTTCCCTTCAATGTTCAGTTCCACTGCACCCGCGTCGCCTGTTCGGAGACTGATCTTCTTTCCGCCAACAGACTCTTGTGTAAAGCTCATCGTAACGCCATTCATTGTCATGACGATGTTGTTATCTTCTTCCGTCTTGGCCCCGCTGCCGCTACCATTCTGGGTCCGTGCGTCGCTACCACGGCTGCTGTTCGAGCGGCTCTTTTGGCTGCCGCTGTCGCTCTCCGCACGAGACGCCTTAGATTTGTACAGGGCATCCTCCGTCAATGGCGTCGGCACTACTTTGCCGGAACGAGATGCCTGGTACTCCTCAGCCGACCGTTGCTTCTCCTCAATCTCGTCACTGTCGTCCTCCTCATCCTCTTCATCATCGTCACCATCATCGTACTCATAGACGGTCGGCCGTCGGCGACGGGAGTTCTCGACCGCAACCCGTGATGGGCGCGACGATTCATGGTATGATGTGGAGGGGCGTCGAGTGTCTCGAATGCTGCGGGTTCGCGCAGGAATCACGGTCTCCCGGGATGACCGTCGATACCCATACTCTGGCAAAGCATCTCTCATGTCGGACAGGTCCATCGAGCGAGATGGGTGGCGATCGGATGTGACCGATGGCGCAGTCACCGCTTTGCGGTGAAGTTCCGGCCGTTTCTGGATAACGTGCGGCGCCGGCTTGTGCTTCACCGGTGGGGGCGGCATGCGGTAATAGTCTTCTTCTCGGTCATGGGAAGAGTGGGAGGGAAGCCGTGGTCGGGGTGCACGGGGCGGCCCGAGATCCAGGGAATCGTCATCCTCATACGCCGAGGGCGGATCATAGTCGACGACGGGTGGCCCGTAAGTGGATCCGCGCCGTGCCCTGCCTTGGTCCCGCGTCCTGGAGGCCGACCGTTCCTGGCGGTCGGGCGGACCATACTCGGACATGGCGGCGGCAAAATACGGGGACGGTTGACCGTAGGGTGAGGGAGCATAGGCTGGCGTATTGGTGTAGGCGGACGAGGATGGAGGGGGCCCATGTTCATAGCGACCCATATGGCTGGGAGGATACATAACTCCACCACCCATCCCGGGAATCATACCATGAAAGCTCACCGGTCGGTTGTTGTTCGTATGATAGGTGTACGAGCGACCGTTGCGAGGCCGGTTGCTGTGCGAGACGTGGACATCTTGGACGGCGGAAGGAGCATACCGCGGACCTTGTGGCGATGGAGGGGGGTAGTCGTGGGCGGACGACGTGGTGGATGGCGACATATAATAGGGGTAGTCGATGGCTCGCGGTTCAACGGGGGTCGAACCATGATACAAGCCTTGATCACACTCCCAACAGGTGCCAGGGAAGTGCCGCATCTGGGAATTTTCCCGTCTGCGGGACCGCGATGGCGACCGCTGCATGGAGGCGTGATGATGGCTCACAGCAGGATAGGTGCCAACTTGCATTTTCTCGTCCCAAGAAGGGCGAGTAGGTCGTTCTTTTGGACGGTCTTTGCGGTGGGAGCGAACACGTTCGAGGTCGGCTCTCTTGGGCGTCGTGTCAATTTTAAGAGGGACAGGGTCTTTCCGGCCCGACGGGCCAGATTGGGTGCTGTTTACGGTGGCGGCAGTGCGACTAGAGTAGCCAGAATCGCTTGCAATATCAACTAGGGCTTCACCAGCTGATCTCAGGTCCAGTTTCGAACGTTTAGCAGCGAGGTTGGCGACTTGACGGGTGTCCGGGACGATAACATGAGCGTCCTCGTCGTATTCCTCACAAAAAGCAGCATGAGGAACTTTTCCAGTCATGACTCCTGGACGGCCAAGGCCCAGGTTGGGACCCTAAAGGGGGGTGAGGGGGGGGAAGGGGGGCTGGTTTGGGAAAGGTGCAGTGTGGATGACGTGAAACGTGGTGATCCAACAGGGCTTCGCTTGTAGATTAGGTACAGCAGCCACCAGTGCTGCTGCTCATCCGAATGACTCAATAATATTTTTAGTCCCTTCCCACCTCTGCTTTTTTTTTTTTTTTCCTTGTTGGGTGCCTGTTCAGTCGCTTCTTTTTTTCTCTCTCTCTCCCTATCGTTTTTCTCGGACCCTCTCTTCCCTGCGATACTTCTCCCTCCCCGGCTAGATCGCTCTACCGGTAATCCACTCTCTCTGGGATAGTGTCAGAGATGGAGCAGAGCCTGCAGATCAATCAAGTAATAGTTCGATGGCGGCGCGTCTAGATTGCTGTATGTCAACGATGAGCAGTGGGTGCAATGTGGCAGTCGGCCTTCGCATGCAATGTATCCATCGAAAAAA